TACTACTACTACTACTACTACTACTACTACTACTACTACTACTACTACTACTACTACTACTACTACTACTACTACTACTACTACTACTACTACTAGTGTACAAATAGTTTTAACCACTTCCAGCATCTGATCTACTAGACTACTGCTAAATAGTACTACTGCTGTTGGTTGTTGTAGCCTGAATCTTTCATAATACTACTAGTGTACTTTGGGTCTCTTGTGCTCAGTACAATTGGTGTGAGGCTAAATTCATGCTGATAGTACACTACATACTACTGATCCTGAATTAGTGGTGATAGTTATAAGAAGTGGCAATCAATATGCTGGTTCTATTGACTTGTCCTCTAGTAGTACTAGTACTGGTACTACCACTTGCTACTACTACTATGTTGCATTCAAAGAAGTACTAGCTACAAGAACAAGTAACAATGCAAAGGCAAAGGACTCCTCTCATATTATTGTAGTAGTACTCCTCACAGACTTGTTGTTTTTCTGTCAATTAATAACAGTAGTAGTAGTAGTACTACTACTACTAGTAGTACAAGGTACTAAGAAGCACACTTGATGGTACTTTCAGACTTGTTTTTTGTGGGTTTAATTCTTATCTCTACTAGTAGTAGTAGTTAGACTTTGTACTGTGTACTATCTATTAACCTGCTATTCTTGTACAAAGAATTTATTATTTACTACTACCTCTGTCCCACTATGATAATAGTACACTTTGCACCTCGTGGGTTKGATTAAGCTCAATATATGGCCGATTTCAATGCTTCTTTTTTTGTTTAACAGATCTATTATAAATATACAGGTATAGAGATTGCATTAATTGAAAATGTCTGATGTACTTGTGGTATTTACTTACTAAAGAGGGCCATTTTTTCTTATCAATAGCTATGAAAATACTGTCAGTTGCTGGGTTCTACTGGTCATTTTGATGATACGCCACTACTAGTACTTGCACATGATAGCTAAGAGTTAGACATTTTTAAGGCTGCAATTCTCTTCAGTATGGAGAACTTTCTTGTATTGGCATTCTTGTTCAAAAAAGGTGCCCATTACCATTGTCAATGCAAACTTTAGTTTGTTGTGTTAATAGAGTGTATTTTCATGTGTAAAAAAAATTATTCACCCGCATGCTCATTTTTATCTAGTACAGTACTGACTCTACACATTCTACACAGTCATACACAGTCATTTGTAGAATCCAATGGCCAGAAACTCCAAAAACTGTTAAGTAAATAGTGGACAATTATTTAGGGGGAAAAAATAGAGTACTGCAGAGTGTACTAATGGTGGGACGGAGGTAGTACATACCCTTTTGGGTTCTAATTAAGACGTGACAGCTTTTTAACAGTAGGGATTCTACAGGACTCTACATGTGGAACAATAGTATTAATTCAGACCACAACGGGCAAGCTGTCACTTAGTTCCACGTAGAACCAAAAAGGAACTATTTTATACCGTACGGAGGTTGCTGAAACAACAGAGATACGTACGGAGGATGCTGAAACAATGAAGATACGGAGGACACTGCTGCTACTGCTACTACTACGGAGGATGCTGATACGGAAGCGATGCTGATAGGATACGAGTCGCTTATGGGGGACGCTTGCTGATACGGAGGACGCTCCCTGATACGATACGGATGCTCGCTGAGCTGAGCTGATACAATACACTACGGAGGCTCGCTGATACAATTTTTTGTCAATTTCGTCAATTTTGCTACTGGTAGTTACAGTGCTGTTCCTCCAAAACCACTCAGTTGATCGATCCACAACTTCCAGAACCTTGAGCCCTTAATGTAAGGGTTAGCACAGTTGTCTTGTGAGTGCAATTGGTTCGATATTGACGAAGAACTAAAGAGGTGACAGCTTGCTAGTTTGCTGGAGGTTGTGTTAGTAATGAGTTTTTTTTTTGGGTGCGCAGAGAAATCAACCAGCCGGAAAAGGTTCTCTGGCAAGAAACATATACAATATGCACATGTATCGAAGGACAAGAGGAGAAAACCCTTTCCGGCTAACGGATTCTCTAATTCTGATTGGTGCTTTTGCTAGAGTTAAGAAGGAACCAAAGATACTAGCTAGTCTTAATTCGAACTCAAACAAGTACTCATACCCACAACCCGCACGGTAACGACTGCATGACTTGTGACTTGAGGTCTTTCTTACCCTCTATTTGTTCAAGTCGAGCTAGTCGAATGCAGATAGTCGAATGAACACCATATCACGAATGAATGTTTAGATCTAAAATCTTGAATCTTAATGCCCGAAAAGAGCGAGCATGCAAACTACACGAGCCTGTTACGAGTACAGTACGTACTGCACGTTATCACATTGTCCCGTACGTTATTGTACTGGTACTTTACTGTACATTCCAACCCAGATGTTATGTGTTCAGAACCCTTTTCTGCTGTAGAACAGTAAGAAAAAGCTAGTCAAAAACAAAACAGCACCCAGAACACACGAATGAAAAAGAGGACACCCTTCGAGCGTTCTTTCCTTGGTAACTCATCGCCTTTCGTACGGTAAAATACGTCTCGTATTGCATCCTACTGCGCGACCTACAGTGGCACCCTTCCTAACGCCTCCCAAGATCGCTTCTAATTCCCCACCGAAAGAGATCTGGACACCGGGTGTTGGTTCAAATCTACAAAGCGAAGAGCTATACAATCCAGCTACTTGTTCTTGAAACAACAGCGCGTTTATCAAAACTGAAACAATATGGCTGATTCCTGCTGCTGCCTCGTGTGTGTTCGGACCCAACAGGTCGGGGTAGTTGAAGATCTCGGTCAATTCAAGAGCCTGCTCGACCCAGGGCTCCATTTCATTTTATGGCCTTTGCAGAGTATCGTAGGGCGGATGTCTTTGCGAATCCAACAGCTTGATGTTGTTTGTGAAACTAAGACTAAAGACAATGTAAGCGATCCCTTGACTTTCTTTCGTTTATCGATTTTGAAATCGCGTGGTGCCCGATAGTCGATCTCGAATCTGCGAAGGTGCCAAGAATTACAAATAGCATTACAAAGCCTACGCTACCACGACTCACATTTTCGAACCTTTCAAAACGTGATCTCCGGCGACGTTTTTCTCAAACAACAGGTGTTTGTCCAGGTTGGTGTTGCTGTGCAATACCGCGTTTTGGTGGATGGAGCGTACGATGCATACTATCGATTGACGGACCCGCGCAACCAGATTCAGTCTTACGTCTTCGATGTGGTCCGTTCGACGGTCCCTCGAATGGACCTCGACGAAGCCTTTGTGTCGAAGGACGAAGTTGGTGGAGCCGTGTTGGCTCAGCTTCGGGACGTCATGAAAGAATACGGATATGAAATCAACAAGACATTGGTTACCGATCTATCTCCCGACGTGAGTTTATATTTTTCTTTTGCGAGCAACGACCAATTGTTGGTGTACCTCGTTTTTGTCTCGATTTGGGACTGTCTTTCTTACCCATTTCATTTCCATGATTGAATTTTATTGCACTTTAGAATCGAGTCAAGGCGAGCATGAACGAAATCAATGCCAGTCGCCGTCTGAAAGAAGGTGAGCTTTGAAAGTCTCGTTGCTTGTGCATGCAGTTTATGACAATGAAGCGAATCAATTGTGTTTGGCAATTGCGTATATGGAATCATGGCTTGCGTGGATTGATATTTTCTAGATTTTTTTATCTGACCGGCTTTCTTGTTCTCCTTCGTGCACCAAAGCCGCGAGCCACAAAGCCGAGGCCGACAAGGTCAAGCAAGTCAAGGCAGCAGAAGCCGAGGCAGAAGCGAGATATTTGAGTGGTCTGGGTGTAGCGCGCCAGCGCAAAGCCATTGTCAACGGGCTACAGGAATCTGTGGGATCCTTTTCCGACGAAGTCGAGGGAGCCACCCCCAAGGATGTCATGGACATCTTGCTCTTGACTCAGTATTTTGACACCTTGGCCGCGGTGGGCGCCAACTCACTGATCATTGAACACGACCCTGCAACGGTTGCTTCCTTGCGCCAATCTGTTGGGGGAGCATTTTTGAATTCCAAGAAGTAAGAAAGGGAATCGTATCCTTTGCCGTCTTGATTTGTGTCGATTGATTCTTTCGATCAGTCCGGGTGGATTCCATTGAATCTAGGGTCCTCTGTGACAAACCAAATTTAGCTTGCTATTGGGTTGTATGTTTTACGCGGCGCGGTCAGAAAACGAAATGACCGCTGCAATTTGGGTTGTTTTTGTTTGTGAAGGTCGAAAGTGCGGGTCTGTGAGCACAGAGTGTTTATCGCCGACAAAAATCATTCGTAGAAACCATATTTGCCTTTACGAATGCAAGTCACTGCACATCAGCTGTATTGCAGGCTTTCTATTCGGTACCATAAAAGAAATACACGATGTACCAAATCTCTCTATCTTTCATAGACTTGATGTAGGATACTAGTTGTGTCCCTTACAGTGCTGTATACGAACAGCCAAAGTAAGCTATCTTTCCAAAGAGACTCAACTAAAATATATTGTAACTAACACTTCGGGATTTGAAGGAGCATGGAAAAATTTGATGGATTTTTTACGGAAGGGCTATTGTTGTAGACAAGAGGCTTATTTGTGTTCTTGTATTTTCTACTGCAATTTGTCGTCTATTCAGAGCTAATGTCATGTAAAGATGAATGTGAACACAATGACTAAAGATGGCCATTCAAAGTAGGGGCTTTGAGGTACAAGGCCAAAATTAGGTAAGGACCAAATGCTCTTCATTATTTCATGTCATGTAAAATAGTCTTCAGTTAATCCATCATGCATAGGAACCTTCTTGGTCAACATCTCATACATCACTTTGTCTTCTGGAGTGATTGTGTCTGGATTTGTAGTGTTGAGTACTGTCTTCACAAACCTTGTGAGCCAGCTCTTCTTCTTTGTTGCATATCCCTTGGTGTTTAATTCAGCAGTGGCATAATCATTACTCCCCAATGTGTTGAAGGCGTTAGGATTGTTAACCAGCTACTCTGTGTATTTGAGCTTTGCTTTGTCTTCTTCTGATTTAGGGTTGCATTTGACGACAGGACAAACAGCAACAGGGGGAGTAGCAACAGCAGCACCTGCACCAGCACCGGCACCGGCACCATCTTCTTTTTATTGTTGTTCCTGCATGGATTACAGATGATCATTTTTCAATTTACTCCTGCTGTTACTGTTGTCTTGTCTGCTTCATCAAGATATACCCTATTTGGTTTAGTTCTTTTTCTTGTCACAGCAGGTGCTGCTTCTTGATCTGCCACCAACTGGATTTTTGCTCCTCTTTCAGATGGCACCTTCAATGCCACTACCACGTGTTGCTGCTGAGGACTGTTTCTTTCAAACCTTGGCATCAACTCCCTTCCAGCATGGATCTTTTGCTTGTTCCTTTTTTGTTCACTATATTGAGACATTTCTTTTAGGCTCTCCCTTCATTCTGGCCTTGATCCACAGTGGACAATGTCATTGTCATTGTTCTACTTCTTGTTCTTCTTAGCTGCTGGCGGCTTCTTTGCCTACAGAGGTGTTGTTGACTTGTTGCTTCTAGTCCTCATGGTGGTCTTTGTATTGCTGCTGTTGCTTTTTTTGGTTTTGCTTGCTTTTTGCTTGTCCCCCTCCAAATCAATATTTCTACACTGTTTTCTACAAGAGTTTGTATTGGGATAGCAATCAAGATCAGTTCTTAAAGTGAAAACTGCTCACATTTTGGTCAATGATACCATGTACTGTACTAGTACTACTGGTACCACAAATTCAGTACTGAAAATTGTGAGCAACAAAGATGGCTTTCAGTACCTGTTGAGGTTGCTCACGCACATGGTTACATGTGGTTACAAGCACCAGGTGCACTTTTTTGTAACTAGACCCACTTTTTTTGGCAACCAGATTACTAGTAGGATCTTGGAAAAAAGTGTCAAGTCCTGCTGGTTAAATAAACTCTGTCCGCAGCATGCTTGTAACCAGCTTGAGGTGTGTATACTCAGGCAAAAAATCAATAGTGTTTGTTAGTGCTATTTTTTATACCAGTGCAATCACCAAGTGCACATGGTTACATGTAATGACACTACTCAATGGTTACAAAATAAGCAAGAAGAAACGGGGGACGGATGAAATCATGGAAGTCAAAACATCAAATAAAGTCTTAGACAGTTTTTACTGTAATTGTTTCTTGAAGAGGAAAGGGAGGGGATCAGGAAGATTTTGTTAAAGCCTCCTAGATTTATCTTTTTAGTTGTAGAGGCAGTGGGGTTTTGAACTATAACAACAAGAAACAGTGTAAAACAATTAAGTTAAGGGAATGAGATGCCAGCATATGATGATGAAAAAAAAACTTGGCTTATCAAGAATTTGAGTGTGTCATTGGTAGCACGTGACCAAAACTCAGCAAAGAAGTTGTCACCAGGTCCACCTCTCCCGGGGTGGGGGTATGTGTAAGTAGTTTACATTAAGAGTGGGGGGAGTCTAGTAGTACCGGTACAGTTTTGAATTTACTAGGTAGGGGACCTGGTACCGGTACTACCTATGTACTTCGACTTTCATTGCCCGAAGCACACCAATTTCAGGGGAAGTCAAATTCGACAGACCTTCAAGATTCTATCCCACTTACAGCTATTTCTTCGCAAGAATGCTCTACTATAGTTGAAAAATGATAGAAATCTAATTTTCATATGCTATATCACAAAGAGGCAGTTTTTGCTTCGTGGAAACGTCCATTCTATATCTTCTCATCAACGTGGGTCATTCTCGTGTTTATACATCAATGGAGGGAAACAGACTTTGTGTTTGTTGTTGTTCCTCGTCTTCCTAGGGTTTCGGGCATGAAAATGGCGAACAAAATAATCGGAATAAAGGAAATAACAAACGATGCCATTAAACTGTGGACGTAGCCAAAGTGCTCGGCCACCCGTTGCCCCAAATAATTCGACAGAGTGGCACCCAAACCAAAAGCAGAAGCTGTCAAGCCCACTGTGAAAGAATGAAATACACGACGTTAGCTTCATTAGATATTTCGCACACTCAAAATCCAAGTATCAACATATTTACAAAAAACTTACTAACGGCATTGAATCTTCCTGTTCCAAAAGTAATATCCGCCACAATAAAAGGATGAATCAATCCGAATAATCCACCACCCAATCCATCAAAAAGCTGAGTCGCAAGAAGGTATTGGTGTCCAGCATCTTTGAGGAGAATGATGAGAGCGCATCGGATAGGCAAAGTTGCAATTCCAATCAAGAAAAGAGGCTTTCGGCCCCAACCTTGTTCGGTGCGTCCATCAGCCCAGTGGGTGGCGAATGCCATTGTCGTTTGGGCGACGACAATGGCTCCAGCAGTCAAGGGAATCGCGGTACGGGTCACGCCTTCTTGTTCTTCGTCGCCTTGTCCCATGAGTTCGCCGAGGACTAACAAGACGTTCGCGTTTGCAAAGCTAAACAAGAAGAATGTGTGAGAGAGGGAGGGCAAAAATTTACATACCAACGAAACAAATATTCACGTACTGGAAGAAGAACCCTGTCATGCACAAGATGAGAGTTCTGAACTCCGAAAGAACCTCCCAATATGAGGCCACTTGTGGAGTATTTTCACCGCTGCAATTCGTAGGTGCCAGTGGAGTTGATTCTGATGAAATCTCGTTTTCTGTTGAGTCTTCACTTTGGGAACTCCCAATTTCAGTGTCAGTATCAGAATATTCGAGGGAAGGTATGCTCGATGCGTCCAATCCCCGTCCCCACAATGGATTTCCTTGTGGCAAGTAACGAATGAAGACAATGGCAACCAAAGCCGAAGCTCCAATCACTAGAAAGCAGTATTCGATGCGTGGATAACTAACGAAGGCCACAATACCGGCCAAGACGGCAGCCGCAACGCTCCCCACATGACCCCAATATACATTGCTGGCCATAACTTCATCAAATTGTGTTGGTCCAAAGCATGCCAAAGTCAAAGCTGCCAAACAAGGATTGATGAAGGAACTAGCAATGCCCTCAACAAACTTTGATGCGTAGATAAGAACATGGTTCAAGCTTGATGGATGGACAAATAGGATGGTAGACGCCGAACATGCCGTAATGACGCTGGCCAGCACGAGAAACAATCGTCGATCAACCGACGTCGTATCGACCCAATTGCCAGCAAAGGGTTGCATGACCAGACTGGTCAGTCCCATGAGAGACAACGCAGTCCCAACAGCACCTTGGGCCCATCCTACACCGGCCAAAAAAACTCCCTGGAAGATATTCAGACCATCGCCGAGTTGGCCGAGACTGAAGGAGACGAGCAAAAAGGCAAGGCGTGTGGATACCATATTGTTACTTTATCTCCAGATAATAATGATGTTTTCTTCTCTTCAATAGACTTCTCCTCGAAGAATGAGATTTCTGGTGTTTGAATTCTCCGTCGGTTACGTGATCGAAAAGAAAATCCGCGGGTATAGAATTGGAAACGGGAGGAATGTAACGGTGATATTTATTTTTACGATACTCGGGTACAATTCTTTACGACTAATCCTAATGAATGTGTTCCCATTTTGATATCTTCCGTTCTAATCATAAGTTTGAATCCGAGAACGCGCTCAATTTTTGGTCCCATTCCAACGGGAACTTCATATTATTAATAAAAAATGCTGACGTGTTTTTTTGAAGATCACTACGGGTATAGAAATCGCCCCGCGAGGGTAAATATAACGGCCGATCACACTTTGTTGAAAAAAATATTTTTTGTCGTGATTTGAGAACTCCAATGCGTCAAATTCCTTCACATCAATTCATTTTTCTATATTTGATGTTAACATTTTCTATCTAATGGCATCGTCACCATCATGGCACCTGATCACTCCGACAGAGAATCGACGACTTGGATCAAAAAAGTTCAATATGTTGTCTCTCTGACGCTGTTGGGTCTATGCGTTGCATTATGCACGGCTGGCATTGTTGCAAACCAGACACCAGTGGCAGCTGCCTCAAATTCTGCGGTAGCGCTCGTCCTGATGTGGGTTCTCATTTTGTGGTTGGGTATTCTTGAGGGAGGTCAAGGGTCTCTGGTTGGCTTACAACCTGTGAATTCGGAAAAATTCAAGTTCTCTCATCCCTATGCCTTTGCCTGCACTGAATTGGCGCACAAAGGAGACAACCTAAATCGATTCATTGTGGGAAGACAGTTTCTGGTGGTCCTCGTTGTTTTCCTTCTAAATATGGCATGTACCGTTGTGGATGATTTTGATGTTCCGGGAGTTCCACATGCTTTGATGTCGAGCATGGTGGCGTCGGGATTGGCCGTAATGATTATCACTGTTGTGGTTGGGCAATTGGCGGCAGAAGTCAATGCTACAAATTGCATGTTAGACTTTATCGATAACCGACTTGTGTGGGTAACGACTTTGATCTGCTTAATGATTGAAACTTCAGGTCTCTTGCACTCTGTCTATTTGGTACAATGTTTCTTCTCCAACGAGAGTATGTCGAAAGAAAGTACCGACAAGACATTTCAACAAAAAGTTTGGTATTGGGGACGAGTAGCGATGTCAGTCAGTCTTCTCACTGTTGCCATGGCAGTCACTTGTGCAGCATTATGGCACGATGAGACTACAATGTACCCTGGTTTGACAACGATGGCTTCCTTTGCTCTATTTTTCGGGTTAGTTTGTTTCTTGGGTCTTCTCGAAGGAATTCAAATTGCCGCCTTTGCTGTGGTGAAGCTACCGACACATATCGTGAGGGCAAGCCCAGCGGCGGGGGCTAATTGTGACTTGGTCTTTCGAGGAAAAAACTTCAAAGCAGTACTGATTGGTCGACAAATTTGCGTCACAACTAGCATGTTCTTGTTGGCACGCATCACAACAACGAATGTGGATCCGAATGATTTGATTGATACATCTGCAACCGACTCCACCGTTCTTGGAATGCCTGCTTGCATTCAAAATTTCTTCAATACTGGATTACCTGGAGCACTAATTACAACAGTTGTTGCTTCATTGTGGTGGAGAATCTTAGCCGCGGCGTTTCCGATTGCGTTTATGGGCAATTCTGTCGTCTATTGGACCATCCGATTATGCTTATGTCTCGAGGCAACCGGAGTATTTTCATCCGCATGGCTGATGGCAGATGGCATCAAATGGATGTTGAGATTTCAAACCGATGACGTGTACTTTTCTGATGGTGATAAAGACATCGATTTGGAACTGAACAAATATGGTGTTGACGATAGCCAAACTCTTCTTTCTGTCAGCACGGGCAAGAACGACAGTGAATCAACTTTTCTCACCAGCAGTTCAAGCAATGGCAACTTCTCAACGTACGGAAGCAACAGCAGTCAAGAATTTGATACTTTTTCGAACCCATCTCCCAGCCCTTCGCTTGAATTTTGAGTATGTAATGAAATTTGGATTTTATCAACGAGCATATAATGTAATGTGCCAATCTTTTCAAACTGTTTGATTGCGTCAAGTATTCTAAAATAGTAACCTGAAGAGACAAGATAAATACAATGAATTTGTTTTCTAGAAGCCTCTCTCTATTCTCAACAACTAAACTGATACCATTCCAGGTCGTAGACAGTGGAGACATGATCACTTGGTATGAATTCATTTTGCTGCATGCGTGGATATTAACATTTTGCGGAAATTTAAAGAGAAAGGAAAAAAAGTTGGGATGAAATAATGCAAAAAGTGAAAAACTTGTCTGTTCCAAAGACTGTGGTATATTGGTTGGCTAACGCAGGTACTGTACATGTTACTAGGACTAAGGTGCAAAAACTACTACAAAGGGAGTGCAAAGGCAGAAAAATTAAAAAGAATTTAGAAGTTAATTAATAAAATGACTCTGACTGCTTTTATTTATAAAATAGGAATGCAGTTCATTCATTTGTTGCCTGTATTGAATATTGTTGGCAGCTTGATTTTGTTGAGAGAACAAGAGGACGTGTTCTTGCAAACAGTTGACCAGTAGAATTTTGTTGCATACTAGAAGTAGCAAGAACTCTTGAAAGTACAACATAATTCCAATTGCTTGTATACTAAGACTAGGCTGAAACCAACCAATTTTCCAAATATCTTCACAGTAATTTGTGAACAGTTCTTGCATTTGCAATACTAATTGGGGATTAAACTAAGTGTACTCCATTGTTACTTGTTTGACTATGATGGGTCATTTTTTATTCATGTTCTTGAGAATATCAAAAGTTAGCATTTGCAGCTAGTACACTTATCTTACATCGTTTTGAGAAGTTGAAGTGATTACTCTATTTTGACTCTCTTCAACACTTAAGACCACTGCTCTGAATGTCTGGTGTCATGCCACCAGATGCTATATAAGCAACAGAATCTTCTCCTAAAGCACTGACCACACAATCTAAATTATCTTCCAAATGAAACACTAAACCCCTTGTCATACCCACTACAACAACTGCACTATTGCAAAATGGTAATAATGGCTGTAAATCTGAAAACATCCTCATATGTGACTGGATTGTAATTTTTTCTCCGCCCACTATATGATATGTGTTCCACCAATCTTGCATTTGCTTCTGGTAGAGATAAAAGCTTCTTCCAAAACCCTTGGGGCTCTGCAAATATGCCAACCCCAGTGTGGCATCTGTCACCTTGTAAGCCCAGGATGCAAAGCTCTGGTAGTAATAATCAAAAGAACTAGTACTACTACTACTACTACTACTACTACTACTACTACTACTACTACTACTACTACTACTACTACTACTACTACTACTACTACTACTACTACTACTACTACTACTACAAGAAATAGCTTAGATGATATTCTCACTAAATAATATCATTTGAATAATTCAATGGTTCTACTGCCTGAAAGCTGTGCAAGATCTGTGATGGGTTAGTAATGTGCTACATTGGATTTTGGACAAGTTCTTGTTCATTAGCATCAAACCTTTCTACCAATTTTATGTGATTACAACATTTTCTTTGACTGCAATATGTATTGCACTACAGCTTTCACTTCAAACAGTAACATTAGTGGGAAGGGAGCAATAGTACATGCAGATTCCAAGAAGCCCATCTGTTTTAGTATAAAGTGTTGCCTTTAGTGAAATTCTTTTTTATTTCTAGTCAGCATAGTAGTAGATCCAGTCGCCTAGATTTTAATTCTGGGGGAACAGAACCCAATGTTGTGGCCTGATCCTCTACAAAAATGCATGCCTTTGTTGGATTACTTGTCCAAATCACAGGTTGAGTACTTCTCCATCTCTGCTCTCTCTCCCACTCAAATATCTAGGTATGGAGGTCAGGATCATCAATCCAGAAACCAGCAAACAGATGGTGGTGTCAGGGTGTCTGATAATGATGGTGGTCCCCCAACCATCATGATCAACATCAATACTTTGACATTGTTGAGCTCTCTGTAGTTACTTCTCCAAACCTGATTTTTGTAACTTTTGTTGCAGCAATCAAGAAGTCTCTAGAGGGTGCTGAATTTAAACTGTGGAACAGCAGACAACTCTGGAGGAGACATGCACTTCATCAGTTGGTACACTGCCATCTTCATCAAAGACAGCATTGCACCCATTGAAGACATTGTTGCCTGCTACATCTTCCAAATCAACATAATCAGAAAGAGCTGTTCCAAGTTCTGGTATATCCTTACTGGCTGCAGAGATTACTAGATTGCTGTACTAGGGGATGTACTAAGCTTTCAATATTAACAGTCTTGAATGAAATGACCTGTCACCAACCTTATTTACAAGAAATGAACTGTCAAATTTCAGTTAATGCTCACACTGATAGTCCATGACATGTGAACATCAACATTGAAAACTTTCACATTCAACCCAAGAAACATCTTTGTCACTGCTGTCAATCATGATTCTCAAAATATGTTGTAGTTGTTGTTCCCACAAACCTTCTTGTGCCAAAGAATTCTAGAAATAGAGGGGACTATGAAATAAATGGTGGTAGTCAATCCTTTAGCACTTACAACATGTCTTTGGTCACAAACTGATCAGCAAAAAAGAATCTTGTTGATGAAAGCCTACACAAGAGTTCAGATTTTGGCAACTGGTGAGAAAGTTCTCAGACATACATTTCATTAGACTCAACACAACAAAGACACTCTACAACTCTCCTGACGTGTATTTCAGAAATTGGATAGTAGCACCAAAAGCATTCCATTCAATGCTGTTTGTAGCTGTTTTCTCATGTCCAAGACGATGGAAAATGAGTATCCGATGAGACATCTCCTCATTTCTGCTATGCAACACACACTTGTAGCTTACTAGGGTTGTCCTGTGCTATTTTTTTCAACGGAATAATCAAAAGGCAATTGCTCTCCTTCAAGTTGTCAAAAAAGTCCACAATAGTCCAAATAACTCTGCTAGTCATCATATTGGAGAGGATTTTTGTTACCTCCTTCTTATCGATTGAAATGTCGGATCCAACGGATTCCTCAGAATGAGTACAATGTAGCAGTTGAGATGCCTCCTGTGCAGTAACCTCCTTGTTCCCACAGACTGCTAGCTATTTTATTGCTCTCCCCAAAAATTCCCAATGAACTTGTCAGTAATTGATGCATGTGATGCTAGTAGATGTCTAGAACAATGTACCACATTTGTATCAATGTGTCTTTCATAGACTTACTATTCTAGGGTATATGAACATCCAGAGTAAGCTATCTTCCCAACAGAGACACTCAACTGAAACAAATATTACTAACAACTTGGGGAATTAAAGAAGCATAGACAAATTTGATGACTTGTCATTTAATGCAGTGTCGGTGAATGGATTTAGTGCCTAACAGGACAAGGGAAGGGCTACATAATAAACAACAGGTTCTACTACAGTTTCTCCTCTATATTCAAAGCTAATATTGTACAGATACAAATGAACACAATAACAAATGGGAGTGGTCATGCATAAGTACCGGTTTAGCGGTACAAGGCCAAAATCAGGTAATGACCGAAGGCCCTTCATTATTCATGTCAAGTAATGGAATGCACGAATGTATGAGTCATTCTACTTTACATCTACCATTGTTGTATCACCATTGTCTGGAAACTGATGGATTAATTTACACCTCCTTTTACAAAATGTGTGATGTGTATTGAACTATTGTGTATCTAAAAGGATTATTTTTCAGCACGAATCACTACACAGGCAGTTCCCAGAACTTCAATGTTTACCTTGCATTCGTCAAAACCTCCACCAACCAGTAAATCTTTCAGGGTTTCTACGGAATCGAAGTATTGGAAGGCCTGCTGCGACGGAGACGCACCAGCCTGGCCGTCCATAGCCGCCACATTGCTGAAATATGTCGATAAAAACGTCGTAGCAAAATACCTGCCTCCCGGCTTGAGGACGCGGTGAATTTCTGCCGCGGCTGCATTAAGGTCGGGCCAGCAATGCATCGCTGCACCAGCATGCAGACAATCCACCGATTCTGTTTTCATCGGGATCTGCCCCACATCGAGACGGACCAGGTCGAGAGACGTCTTGAGCGATTTGGGGGAGAGCTCGGGATCGGCTTTGATTCGTCGTCTTGCTTCAGTGAGCATCGAATCGGAATAGTCACACCCCATGACTCTCCCGTACTTTCCGGATTTGGCCAGCCTTCGGGTGAAAAGCCCGGTGGCACAACTCATGTCGACGACCACCGAATCGGGATTGGCAAGCGCTACCACGGGAGCAAAGTAGTCCGTCGCCATTTGGGCCTCGACGTCGGGACCCGGGAATCCGGCGGCAGCAAAACCCTGTCGCCAGCCCCGCTCATACGCAAACGAGACCGTTGGATTCGTGAACAGATCTCTCATGGGCACGTATTCGTTTTCTTCGTCACCCAAGAACGAATTTACGGGGCCTCTCAGCGGTGGAGGAACTGCGGGAACGACCTGCCGCAGTGCCGACTTCAAAAGAGATGATGGATCGGTATCCTTCTTTAGCGGCTCATCCGACACAGGTTCGAGTAGATTTAAATAGGTATTGGCGCTACCTCCGTACGTGGCGGTGGGGGATGTGATTTTCAAAGATGCACCACTGGACGATGTGATTCGAACTCCTTCTTTTGTAATTGGATCCGCCAAAACAGGGTCGATAAATGTCTTTGGCCCGAGCAGTGAGAGCAACTTCTTTTTCTGTGCCAATAGTTCATCGTTCTCCGTGTTGCCGACTGAAGATGCTGCGTCCATCAGAGCGGATTTGCTCTGCAAGCCGGAGCCAAATCCGACCACAAAAGCATCTGCGCATTTCCAGTCGAGGAGGCCAACGCTAACCGTTGCTGCGATGATCGACGCCGATGAGAACTTCATCCTCTTTGTTCTTGCAGTAAGTAGCTCTATTTGGAAATAAGAAAAGGAAGAATGGATAGAGCGATATAGGATTCCTAACGACGTAGCGATAGATTGGTGGGATACGAGAAGGAACGTATACGACTTTTGTAGTCCTTCGATGAAAGAGGAATGATGGTCGAAACAACCATCGAAGAGACAGAAAATCTGAAGAAAATGAGGTGGTAGGCGGGATGGTGGTCTGAAGTTTTAGAAGTTTCTATCGAAGAGTCACTCGAGTCTTTGTTTGCGAGTTGGTCATTCGTGACAGAAATGGTTCAGTCCCATTCGATAATTTTAAATTTTAACACTACTGAGAAAGCAATCGTCCTCACTCGTCCTCGTTCTGCCGTGTGAAACGAACTAGTGCGTTGATGAAACGACACCAAGTGAAGTGCGTACGTACTGAAGCCACTTCTATCTAGTGATGATTGTAAAATGTAGATGCTACAGACTACAGACTAAGGACAAGATCTTTGCTCTGCTTATCATGTTTATATGTTATCCCTGATTCTACTCTATTGATGTATCAAATGGCATCGTCAAATTGGCCAGTTACAACACATTCCATAGTACGATTCCCCTGATCCCCTGAACATTTAGCTTTCACCAATGGTATTTCCTCGCATATGTTGGTTCCTTCCACTAGCAAAGATTGGTTGCCGTTCAAGAGGGAAATATCTTGTCGACTCCCCTTTGGTGTAGGCTGAACTACCAGTTGTACTTCTTCATCAACATCATTTGTAACTGAACTGAATTTGAAAAACTTGTCGGCTTTTTGCAGCGATGAATTGATGTTTGCAGATTCTTGCATATCTGACCTTTCCTTTAATTCTAATCCAGTGTTCGATTTAAGTCCCTGAGTGAGTTGTTCAGGAGCTTGTTTTCCTCCTGATCCTGACTGCACAATAGAAAGTGGTGCTTTCTGATGTTTGAAAGCGATCGTGCTTTCCTTCTCAACTCCGTCATTCGACGACAGTGGCACAAAGTTACACGAAAGGAGTCGTAGAAAATTTAAAAAGTCTGGAAAGTCCCTAAGGCTCCCCGGTGGAAGATTCAGGTCGTTTCGAAGAGCCGAAAAATGTTTTTCAACTATATTGAAGTCAACCTTGGTGGGTAGCCGCCGCCAAATGCCTCCAGCGAAAGATTCCTCTGGAAGCCGGCCTTCTCTTCCAAGTGTGACCATATAAGTGTCAATGACTTCAGTCTCGTTGCCTACAACAGTGCGAACCATTTCAAAGAAGGATTCCATTGTGACTAGTGCTTTCACATTACCATATTTCTTTTCAAGACTCTTCATGGAAAATAGAATATTATCCCACTGGATGCCGTCCTTTTGGCACAATTTCGAGTGTTTTTCCATTGCGTCTGCGGAAGGACGCGAGAAAAAGAGAGACCCTGGAGCACGATAGTCAAAAGGTACCATGCGACACTTTGTGCACTGCCAATATGTATTCATCGCGGCTTTTGTTTCGACAAATGCATACTTACGAAGCGCCTTGGCGAAATCCAAACTACGGACGGCCACCGGGTGGACCTCTTTCTCGGCTTCGAACGATACATTTTGAAGTCTGGAAAAAAGCCTCTTTAAAAATCGGCGTTGAGAACCAAAAGGTAAACGTGAACATTGCTCTGAATGCATCTTCCGAAGCGCATCGATGACTCGCTTCAGCGTTAACGGAACATTCGGACAGTTTAGGATGTGCTTGTATAAAGACACCTGTCGTAAATGAGCAAATGAGTGCTGAAGAGTGAGACGCATAATAGAAAAAATGCATGTAAAAAGAAATCATGATTCCGAGTTTTACTTACATTTAACGCGCCTGCTAAGTTATCTGCGGTGGAAGGAAAACATCTACCCGTTGTAATGAATTGCTGTCCGGAGCAATGCATGCAGCAGAGGCCAGCCACGCGACTCGTTTTTGTCATTTTCCGATTCTCTTGCTCTAAAGCGGTCGGAATAGCAACCTTCAGCTGCCGCATGCATAGGAAAACGAAATCTGAAATTAAATTTCTATCTTCTCGTTGTATAAGGTTGTCATTTTGACCTGGTTCCCATGATTGCTCTGCATTTTTTAGTATCTCTTTAATTTCTTTCGCATCAATGGCAGGAGTAGATCGCAAGTCCGAATTCGAATACTTTGTCAAGGAATCTCGGTTTGTATTCCTTCGTCCTGTATGATTTCCAAAGGATGAACGGATCGTTTCTGGGATATACTCTTCATCGCCGTCTTTCTTGATCGTTTCATGTAATACTTTACCAGTATCGCTTTCTAACGGCTTGTCGGCCGCCCTAATTCGCTTCCATAACGTCAAGAAGAATCTACTTTGACTTCCTCTTGGCAACTGCTGCATTTGTTTCGAATGTACTCTTTTCAGCGCTCGCAATGCATCCTTGATCCTCTGAGGGGTAACCGGGCACTTCATCAGATGCAAAACAAACATGTTACTCACGGCGCTTCCTAAGTTTTCATGCACACTTGTAAAGCTTCTGCACGAGTTCTGAAAAATGTCTGCGGCCGTGGTGCTTTTAKGTACAGAGAAACCAAACCCAGCACTCGTTCCATTCGTTGGATAGTTACGTTTGCAATGGCGGCAACAGAAACCGGCGAATCCTATACGCATCTGCTTGGTTTTTTTCCCCCTCGTAGCAAAATCTGATTCTATAGCGTGGCAAAGTGCCATCTGCTTGGTCGTCAAAAACATAAAGTCGCTCAAAACAGCACCATCTTTCTTGAAAATCAAGCAGTTTTCACCATCTCGTTCCTCTTCTTTCGCCTTCTTGAGAATTTCAAGGACGTTTGTTGCAATAATAGCAGGAGAAACAACTGTAGGATCCATACTACCTACACGGTTCGGAACGACGTTTGCTTTCGCAGATGGTTTGCTCGATATACTCATTTGTTTTGGGCTCATAAACAATGTAGGGTGCTCTTGCTCTACCTTGGATCGAACCATATCAAACGGCAATAGGTCCAATTTCAGATCTCTCCCGAAACGCAATCCAGCCATATTCTTGAGCTCGACAAGCCCTAGGCGATAGCATGAAACATGCCAGTACGTAACAGCAGTTATCCCATTCTTCTTCATGCGTCTCCGTAGTCCCGAGCTACTTTCTCCATTTTTTTTCGCTTTCAACATGTCCAGTACGGCATTCAATCTCGAACCGGCTGGAAGATTTGGACAGTGTTCGAAATGATGTTGCGGTTTTTGAATGGCCAAGCTATACAACGCCGACATATTCACGGGATACGACACCGAGCCTGGTGGCATTTTAGGACGTCTACCATTCCAGCCTTGCGGTTGCGCCGCCCGCAAGGCTCTGGCACAATGAATACATCGAATACCAACTTGTCCCGGGACCGTGGGTTTTCGTCGACCCGAAATATTCGTGCAATCTTCTGGTGTAGCACTGAAGAACTCCAAATTTTCCCTAATGCATACCTGAAACTCCGAAAGATAAGCAGTATCGTCTGGCTGGATCGCCATTGGATAGGTCCCTTCGTACCAACCCTCATCGCTCGGAATGCCATCAACACCATTGGTACCAGCAAAGGACGAATTTGTGGTTTGAGGTGCGAACGCATTGCTACTCACAGTAATGGGGGCAACAACATCGTTACTTGCAACCTGCAAGGGCAACGACAGCACCGCTGCTGAGAATTTACGTTTCTTTTTCAATCCAATGTATTCATCGACGTCTATCACGACCTTTGGAGGCTCCAGCAGAAAATCTTCGTCGGAATCATCCCCCAAATCGACAACGCTGATCTCGTCTTTCTCCCTTATCGCTGTTACCACGGTACCAGGCTCCGTTTTGATTTTTTTGCGACCTTCGATCACCTTCAAGAAAGAAGGAACGACATTCGGATTCTTAAGCAATCTGTATAGCTGACGGCGATTCTTGCGACGCAATTGTTTCCCACTCAGAGAATTTTTACTGAGGCTGCTTGTCTTCGATGTAGTGTGATCCGAAGGACGAACACCACCCGCAGGATCTAAATCATTGGCACGGCAAGGAGGAGGACCAGATGTTGGAAAAATCGATTGTCCTTCTTCGTCCCGCATAGTATCGGCACTCCCGCTATCCCTCTTGCCTGGAAGCGCTGTTTCATCTTCCAGAGTAAAATCCATGCTTTCGAACACTTTGCAGCTATTTCATTCGACAATTTCTACTGGGTGCAATGCTGGAAGATGCCTATTCAAGAAGTGTTTGACGAGAGGAAAGAACGAATTCTGGGGAAGGGCGTGCCTCAGACATCGGATTGTGAACTCATGTTTTCAATATCATTGCCTTCCATGTCAAAAGATGAACAATCCGAAGTCAAGTTAAAAGGCTCGGTTGGGGGTAGGGGGTGCCGCGTCCCCTTTTCACCTTTGATTTCCGCAGGTCCCTGAGTAAAACAAGGTCTAGGGGCCGACGTGCAAAAACAGACGGGCACGGCATGATTACGTACGTACGGTAAAATAGTTCACAAAGACAGTACAGTTCGTACTCCTTTTGGAATAAACACAGGCTTCAATAATAATATGAGAAGCAGACAGGCATCGAACGGCAATTTCGGCTAGAAAATGTTTCCACCCCGACGAAAAAAGCGCGCCTTCCAGCCCTGGCGTAAAATAAATACTTCAGGATTTTCGTACTACGTTAGAGTACTGATACATACGTACAGGTACTGTGCAGTCTTTCGAATGATTTAACTCCGTTTGTAACGTCCCGTAAGGTAAGAGTACCGAAAGTACGTAGTAAGTACCGGTACGCTAACATTCAGTGGAATGAATTGTTTGATCGGTTTTCGTTTGTCCCACGGATTTGTCTGTTCTATCAACAATAATAATACACAACACTTGGCAGTTCCCACGCCAATGTTAAGCACTTCAGTCCCGGCGTGCGAAGGAGAGGAGGATTGACCGGAGTAGTTCTCAGGGCAAGAAACGATCGAAAGGTTAGCGGCAGCAGACAGAAGAGGGAAGAAAAACATGGTGGAAATATCGTCTCCGTCTTCTTTCAAAACGCTGAAGACTCCCAGATCGCGTTCGGATGCGCCAGAGAAGAAGCCTTTGTGGCTTCTCGTAATATATGCTCTTTTCTTTCTGGTATGTCTGAATGCCATTTGGACTTACAAAGACCGAAAGCGACTGGTTTGGTTGGAGTTACAGGAACGCGAGCAAAACGACAACATCGAAATCCAATACAGTGCCGGTGCGGAACAACACGTAGTGAGTTCCAATTACGGTTCAAGCATGTATGGAGGGTCCATACGAGCCGCCGAATCACACAAGAAGAAGAAGAAAAAGAAATCAGCACGGAAGACGACGTTGGAAAACATCTTACCTAGACCGAGAGATGGTTCGAAGGATTATATTATCAGAAAGCCAGGCAATAACTCGTCGGATTTCAAAGCATTCAGTTTCTATGTTATGACTGACACTCCGGTAAGAACAAGGATATTTGCAGTTTTTTTCATCTTGGTGAGGGTAATGTTGCTACTTTTGGAGGCTCATGATGCAACTTTTTCGAAATTTTAGTACACAAAATTGGAAGAGAAGAGACTTCGATCTCAGATGAGTGAATTGAGGGATTACATCCACGACAACCCCAAGCGCAACCTTACTCTGGGTATTCACCTGGGAAATACACAAAAAGTTTCAAATTCCCTCTGTGCCGAATCTGCATACAAAAACCACGCCTATCTCATATCAAAAGGGCCCAGTCCAACCTTTGTGACGCCGGGAAAGAGCGATTGGTTTGACTGTCCCCGACGTGAAGAAGCTTTCGATTTTTTTGTGAAATACATGGGCCCCGATTTCATCTCGGAGTGGCACCGAGAGCAATTCGAGAATTTTGAAATCCAGCGATCAGAGGAAAATCCGGAACTTTTTACTTTTTATATAGAAGGGATCCTCTTCATCGGGCTTCACATGATCGATTCTCCAGGCAATCAAGAATCATCGGCAACACGGAACAAGCGAGTGAAAGCTAGCATGGAATGGTTCGCGAATACGATAGAAACAAACATGGAGAGACGTGAAATTCGGGGGGTCATTATAATGGGACACGCGGGACGATCAGAAAGTAACCAACAATCCTTTACACATATGGCAAAATACTTCGTGGGCATTGGCACTAGAGAGAATATACCAGTAATGTACTTGCATGGGAATGGGGCAAAGTGGGAAGTAGATCGAAGCTTTTCCCAGGAGGCAAGCTGGAGCCAATTCTACGATGTTCAGGTAGACCAGGGCGGCTTAACAGAGCCGTGTATCATTGATGTGGCTCCGCAACGCCTGGGAAAGGTTACGAAACTCGAAAAGAACGAAAACAACAATGATATGGAAACTATTATTGCAAATGGTCTATTTCGTCTCGATCAGCAGAAAGGTCGTTACCTTGATCCAGAGGAAGTTGCAAAATAATTCTATGCAATTAGATATAACCAGCAACTTATACTCTGACCCCAAAAAATGCAAGAAATTAACGTCTCTATCCGTTTGCCGTATTCAATGAGAGCTACAAATAGAAATACACGTAGAGGGGAAAGAGAGCGATCTCGACTTTATTTGCTATCGATTTAAGAGCGCAGATCCATCAATGGTTTGGTTCTCGTGCTGTCTGGCTGCAGAAGCTTTTTGTCTTTTCTCTTGAGCTTCCTCTATTTCTAGAACCATCTTCGGATTTTCGGTATCGACGCCTTCCCCTGCCAATAGTTCTCCAATTCTGCTGCGTCCCTGGACCACACCCAACCAATATGGTGTTCTTCCTTGTCCATCTAGCTGGTCCAAGTATGCCACAATCTTAGACTTTTTGCTGTCGTTGTCCACGTGGGAGCAAGCTTTCTTGACAAAGTCGATCCAGACTTCCACAACTTCAACATTTCCACAAAATGCAGCTACGTGTATTGGATTTGCGCCATTCTTATCTTTCAAGGATATTATTTTATCAAAAGTGTCCGAGCGGTCGGAGCTGCTCTTGTCATCGTCCATAAATTTTAAAATGGTTTGTAGTATCTCGTGCGCATTCCGTTCGGAACAGATGTGAAAGAGCGACAGGCCAATCGAGTTGCATTCCAGCAATTGTTTTCGGACTACAACCTCTCCTACTAGCAGCATATATTCCAACAACGACTCGTGATTGTTTGCAACGGTGATCTGAAGCGGTGTAGTCCCTTTTTTGTTTTTTCTGGTCAGAGCTGCTTTGAACTGACTGGGAGTGTATATTTCCTCTTTTAAGTAACGCATCATTCCGGTATTCCCTTGGGAACAAGTAGCCAAAAAAGGAGAATCCCCTTGGTTATTCGATTGTTCAATTAATTCCGAAAAAAGATCCATCTGGCCCTTTTCTTCAAAGTCTCTGAGGACTTCTGTCAGCAGCGCCACGTTTCCATAGGCTACCAAAATCCAAAGTGGAGTGCACCCTATTTTGTTGCGTGCTCGATGCGCTTTGATTAGTTGCGAACGCGGAACTGACTCGTTTATAAAGCCCAGTATTTCCGAGCATCTTCCGTTTTCAAGGCGACAGCTGAATAGGGCATGGAGTACATTGTTGTCTTGTGCGTCATTCAAATCAACAGAATCGTTTCCCATCCAGAAGTCACGAAATTTCGCAGCATCGCCAACTACAGCTGCTGAAAGAAGAGGCGGCGGTCCAGCTGATCGGACTGATGACGACGAGCGGTTACCCATTGTATGGTTTCTTATAACAAGTGCAGCAAGAAGGTCATTGAAAACTTTAATGGTTTTCGGTATTTGTTTGCCAGTTACAAATTACGAAGTACTGTACCGGTAGAAGCACTACTTTGGCAAAAAGTGAGTTCATCTGCATTTCTCATGTTGTTGGCAAATGAGCTTAGTTTCTACCATTCGTGACTGAACTTTCGGAGCATCGGTTACAAAAAAACCTGCTCCTCAGCGTTACAACTCCGTACCGGTACGTACAGTACAGGCACGTACTTCACTGACACTGTTCTAGCGTATTCTAGCGTAACGGTTCCTCCAAACGGTAGCTGAGGAATGATCTAACGACAGCCATTTCAGAGACGACGGTTTCCCTTCTCTTTCTCGTCCTTCTTTTAACTGAGCTCGGTGGAATAGGCCAACCTCAAGGTACCAAAGCATATGCATATCAACCAACTTTGAAGACTATCCTGTTACTTCTTACAATGGAAAAGCTGTTGGACAAGAAACTCTGTCATTTTTTCCACTCTTACGATCTCCGACATCAAACATGGTAGCTATACGGCCAAACGAAAGACCACACTCTCTCTCTTTGCATAGAATACCAAGATGGCTTCTGGTTGTAGGTATCAGTTTCGCGGTGATGATTATGAATTCGATTAGGTACCAAGCCTCCGACGCAGCAATAAACGGTACAGCAAAATCCAAGTTCGAAGTGATTTTTCCAAGACCCGACGGTTCGAAGGACTACAACCTCGTAAAAGGGACTAAGACGTCGTTCGATGCATTTAGCTTCTATTTGATGGGGGACACACCGGTACGTCTCCAACGATTTTAAGAAGAATTTACTGCACGAAATTTCGAAGGTACTCGGAATATTGTAACTGCACTGCTCACTGTTATGGACTGCTACTTTTGCACATTGTTTCTTCATTTCCACCGCAGTACAGAGGTTGGCAGGAAGCAAGGCTGACCCTTCAAATCTCCGAAATGAAAGAATACGTTAAGGGACATCCAGAGCGCAATCTAGCGTTTACGGTTCATGTGGGCGACATTCAAAAAGTAAACCGCACAAAGTGTGCAGAATCTTCATACAATAGGACTTCTGCAATATTAACAGAAGGGTGAGTGATTCCGAGGCTATGTTTTGGTGGCAGTTGATCGGCTCTAATGCTAACCTTCCTGTCACATGTTTTTGTACACATGATTGCAGCCCTCTACCCACACTTGTCGTACCCGGCGACAACGATTGGTACGACTGCCCAAATCGAACAGAAAGCTTTAATTTCTTTTTGAAGTACTTTGGCGCATTTGAAACTCGATGGCATAAGAAGGACTACATGTCCTTAGGCATAGAAAGATCGAAAGAGAATAAAGAATTGTTCGTTTTCTACAAAGAAGGAATATTGTTCATAGGTCTCCATTTGATCAATGCTCCATTAGACCACGAGGACATCGAATCTTGGGATGCTCGCATGAAGATCAACAAAGAATGGATGGCAAAAAATATTGAATCCTACTTTCAAAAGTCAGAGATTCGTGGAGTTGTTTTGTTGGGACACTGCTTGCGTTCCCCACGCACGCGTCCCTTCTTTTTGACAGTAGCTGATTACTTTGTCAACATTACTCACCGTGAAAATTTACCAGTTGTCTATTTACACGGAGATGGACACAAGTGGGATGTCGACACCAAACTTTCCCACCAACTCCATTGGAAACACTTTCGTGATATTCAGGTAGATCAGGGTGGTTTGGCAGACCCAATTATCGTTGATGTAGCAAGTCAAAAGAGAGGAAAATTAAATGTTTTGAAGAAAAGAAGCGACCTGGAGTTGGTTATTGGAAAAGGCATGTTCCGGATCGACCGGCAACGAGGAAAGTACGAAAATCCGAAAGAGGTGGTGGCTGGAAAATATATCTAGGAAACGCTTTAGATCAAATCAAAACTAAATTCAGAAAAATCCCAACCTATCATTGCTAATTACTGAGACTGTTATGTTCTATTCGTAACCTAGTGTTCCTTATTCATGTGATACAGAAGAACACAGTGACTTTTGAAGTATCCAGTTCATAAAGATAACTTCAAACTTTTCGGAATTGTCGCAACTTTGGATTCAAGATACTTCGAAGTTGATGTTGTACAATATTATGATTAAACATTTACTTTCTTGGTTACGACATTCTCAATTGGTAATCTCCGTTCGCCGTTATGTACCGTACCCACGGCAATGCTTGGTATCCGCTCTTTTCAATGATTTTCAGATACCGCACTTGAATACCGCTTACGGTAAAGTATGGAATTTCAAAATTGACGCTAATGGGTTTCTTCCACGAATTCTCTCCCTTTTTCTGGCCATCTGGATCAACATCTGCTGCACTGATCGAAGGCAGTCCAAAATGCGCTCTCATCAGGTATTCTCTTCCCCCGTGGAATTGCTTTATGTTCCAAACAATAGCATCCTTGTCGGGGAGATAGGTTACGTTTCCGATGCTAGATTTGAATGAAGGACTGTCGACGTCCGGTGGAACTGGAATAACAATCTCAACATTGTTGGCTACACTTCGCGACTTAAATTGGGATCTGGTCTTGATCATGTACTCGATACGTGATCCCTTGTGCGGTTCAACAACCGCTTCGACCCAAATCAATGGCTTCACATGCGTATTGAGGCGGTACGTCATCAGATCGAATTCACCATCCGGGGGAATGAAAGAAATTGTTCTGTCGTTTTCAAATCTTGCCAATCGCACACACTGATGGAATTTGATATCTTCAAGCTCCACTGACTTCCCTTTGGCTTGGTTTGCGCGTCCGGTTGCTTCGAACATGAGCTTATCATTCAATCCGAGTTTCAATTCCGGCATTCCCGACAAGAAGGATCTCATTTTGACAGCCGCGTTAATTTCCGAGTGCAAAACAGTTCCATTCGCAGCAACCAGCAGATTCAATTTCTCTACTACATCCAGGAAAATCTCATTCTTTTTGTGTTTGATTCCCTCTGCTCTCCAGGAAACCGCATTCGTCAAGGCCACAGGAGGTTTACTCTTAGAATCTTCGGCCATTCGATTTGCGTCCTGGGTGATAAAGGAACGAAGAATATTACTATCTAGTGATTGTGGCATACCGTGATCCATCGTTTCATCTAACAATTCATAGATTACCACAAAGTTGTCCCGAATCGATTCCTCTTCCAATGACCCGAAATAATCCTTGAATACTTGTGCCAAACGATACAAGAATGTAAAGATCAAAAACACATTCGAGTTTTTGGTGGTTACAGCACAAAGATAAACATTTTGGTGCTAAATGCCGCCATGTACATTTCGAAATACCGATTCCAAAGGAAAATACCGGTTTAGTGATGAAAGTTGGAAATGGATCCAAATGGCACCAACGAATTACGACACTTCAAAATGACTAACAATGAATTGCATCACATTTCGACAACACAATCTTAATCGGAAAAATCTTGAAGGGACGTGTAGACGTAGTACTTACTGATACGTAGACATAGTGTTCTCCCCCCGTACCGGTTTCCCCAACATTCTCTCCAGATTGCACATCGCCGTTTACGTCTACATGAAAAACCGGTTTCTTGGCCTCTTCCTCGACGTCGACAAGATATGTAGCAAAACGTTCGATGACCTTATTCATTACGACATCGCCTCGGTAGTTTCGGCTGATGATAGCCTTGCCTTGGAGATCCGTGATGAAGACAGCCGACGCAACCATGATGCTGAAGGTGATAAAAATGTGGCATTTGCAACGGAGAATCGGCCTCCAGATATGACTTTGCGCGTCGTTTGTTGAGATTGGTTCAAAAATTGCACCACACTCGAAAAATGCGAATAGAATATTAGGGGCAGATAAAGTTTATGATCCCCCCTTTCTTCACTGTCACGAAATTAGTGCTGTACGAGTGTACGTAATCGTACAAGTACCAAGTACTCATAGGTACGGTTGCAACAACCGGTACTAGCTAGTACAAGTACGAGTACCTGTAGTAATTGTGGTGACTGGAGGAAACTAGCATGTACTACGAGCACTCGAAATGTTATCAACCCTGTAACCCATGTTACGGTAGATAATCTCTTCTTTTGGGAAGGAGTTTGTTTTCCCATGCTCAACTGACCTCCTAGATAGTGCGCGACTGCAAAATCCTACCATACGGAACATAAAGTGTGACCTAGTGAAAATTCGAACCGGTAACATTAGGCCTTTGAAAAATTTACCCGGAGGCCAATAATGAAAAGCTCTCATACTATTAAATGGCATTTGTATAATTGAACCTAGCTAAATCATGGGTCGGACGTGGGTACGGCCTCGGCTTCTAGACCTGTCGTATTCTTGTCAGGCAAAATGCCAACATCGATGTCCTTGTTCACTTCATCGACAACAACATCGATGATATCGGGATTTGCAGCGCCATCTTTTTCGGCCTCGGGAAACGCATCCCCGATCACCTCTGCTACAAACGGGCTCTTTTCCTTTATTTCCTCTATCCTGCTTGCTGCGGCAGACTTATCAGTCATCATTTCTCCTTCACCCTCTTCGCTATCCTTGCTATCTTTCTTTTTCTTTTCTGATCTTACTTCGGGTTCGATGCCCAGTTGCACCAATGCCATATCTTCTTCGCTTTCAACGAGAGATTTTCCACTCATTACCTCTTTTCGTTTCGTTTCTAGAATTGCATTGACTTCTTCTGGCGAACCACCGAGAGCCTTTAAGACTGCTCCTCCGAAAGGAAGAGTCAACAGCAGATTGTCTTCAGGTAGAATGGGTACCATTGCAGCTACATTTAATGTTTTCTGTAAACGATCTGCATGATCCTTGTCCCTAGCGCGGCTGAAGATCTTTACGTCGGGGTAGAACCTACGTAAAGCGATAACAGCACGGTTTGCTTGATCTCGGTCCGAGATGCAGACCACAACTGCTTTGGCTTTGCCTACATTGAAGGCATCGGCCACTTCCTGTCGACCAATATCACCATAAAAGACAGGAAGTCCAGCATTGCGTGCTTCGATAGCCTTCTTGGGATCGATTTCAATTCCAACATATTTCACAAGTTTGCGATCCATTAGGTCACAAACAACTTTTCCAACCGCTCCATAGCCAATAACGACGGCGAAATCATCGCTTTCCTTGATTTCAGTAGCCTCCCGATCTTGTCCAAGATAGTGAGTGAAATCGCTCTTTTCTTCAAGCGCTTTGGAGACTCTATCCCCAACCGCCGCCATTGCTGGTGTCAACGCCATGGTAAGACTCACACTAGTGAGCAATAGTTTTGTGGTTGGTGTATCTAAAATTCCAAGTGACCTCGCCAATCCGAAAGCAACGAAGGCGAATTCACCGCCCTGGCTGAGAATGAGGCCGGTCTGCTGTGAAACGGATAGGCTTAGACCAAAAGCCACACTCAACAGAGTTAACACAGCTGTCTTGATGATCATAATCCCCAAAACGATAGCAGATACAGCTGGAAGGCGCGAAAAAATTAGAGCCAAGTCGATTTCGAAACCCACGGTGACGAAAAATAAACCTAGCAAAATACCTCGAAAAGGCGCGATATCCGCTTCTACCTGGTATCGATATTTTGTTTCAGAAAGAAGCACCCCGGCAAGGAAGGCCCCTAGCGTATTGCTCAAACCCAACCCCTCTGTCATGAAAGACATGCTCAAAACTGTCAACAAAATGACTCCCAAAAATGCCTCCTGGGACTGTGCCGCAGCAACTTTCTTAAACAAAGGATTGACGACATATCGACCGGCAACTGCGATGGATCCAAGGGCTATACCAGCCTTCAACACCGCACTTCCGAGAGCAGCAGCCAAGCCGCTTCCGCCTCCGGCCAGAATAGGAGTGACGACCAACAACGGCACCACGGCCAAATCTTGAAAGAGAAGAACGCCAAAAGAAGCCTTTCCAAATCGAGACGCCAACTGATTCTTGTCCTTAAGGAGTTGCAAAACAAACGCAGAACTGGACAACGCAAGGCCACCTCCTAATACTACCAAGGCATTGGCAGGAAGACCGAGGACTTTTCCAACACCGGCAATCGCCAAGGCAGAGCAAAGAAACTGACTGAAGCCCAAACCAAAGACATCTCGCTTCATGCTCAACAAGCGCTCGATACTGAGCTCGATTCCCATCTCAAATAGAAAGAAGACAATACCAAGCTCGGCCAATACCTCCGTTGTGTGAAGATCATTGATCAAACCAAAACCGTTGGGCCCTAGAAGCATACCCGATGCTAAGAACCCAAGGATCGGTGAAGTTCCCATCATCTTACAGAGTGGTGTAATTACTGCAGTGGCCAAGAGCAACAGCAACGTATCAGATCTTTTACCGCTCATGAATTTTCCCAAATCATCGATTGCATCCTTCAACGTCCTGGAAGTCTGATCTGCAGCCGTCGCCACAGCAGTCTTTGCTTGCTCGCTTCTACTCTTTTTCGTATCCACTTTCAATGGTGATGTTTGGGCAACAGCGGCTGATGATCCTCCATTTCCACCACCCCGGCTACTCAAAACATTGATTTCTGCCGGCGGCGTAGCGCCAGAAGGAGTATACGAGCTAATTTGGTCTCCAGAACTGAAGAGGACTGCCAGCGAGAAGGCCGCTGCTGCAAGAAGACTCTTTCCTTTTTTTGTTTTCCAGAAGACCACCTTCCTCATCCACGACTGTGTCCGTCGTGCGAATTTCTTGCAAAACCGCAGCCTCCTATTTGTCCAGCTATTGTCACAATTCTTGTTTTGGGGATCCTGCTGTTGAAGTTTTTACATTCGACGATAGTGTTGCGAACACAAACCAATTTATTTCAGTGTGTCGTTGAAAAACCAAAACTCATCTATCGATATCTTACAAATATTGAATACACTCTTGCGGATGAAAATCATGCATCATCATCGCCGTCCACCGCGAAAAGAACGACACGAAAAACAGGAACCACGAAGTCTGGTCACTCACCTCCCTCTCAAATTGAACAGTATTTCTATGCGTGCGCAATGTCAGTGGAGCACTTCGGAAAGAGCTTACTTGCGAGGCAATGCTCCCGGACCGTATTCTTGACGGGACGCTCAAACTTCGGCCAGCATTATTGAAGGCAAAAGATTCGGAAATAAGGAACCCATGAACGCACAGCAACAGCACCAGGACACTTCCGCTATTTTTCATCAAGGAGGATGTCGTCGACGGCATCTTCGTATTGACGATTTTTCCCGCTCCAGACCAAGATTTATATACAGATCGTCGGGAGTTCCCCTTTTCGTGATAACAGTTATTTATCCTTGTGTCACCGGCTGATTGAATACCTGGAACGGTGCGGCACGATTAATCGTTGATCTTCCGTTGTTAAGCAACCTCTCGAGGTGAATCTTCGGACCCGGCATCAAAATTTTGGAGGGGGAGTGTGGGTGTTTTCGTCGGTCGGTGCCAGAGGTAAGCTGTTGAAAATCTACGTCAGTGTGCGAGATGTTCAAAATAATGTTTGAACATCACGAAGCGAAACGTGGATAGCCACTACGTCCGTCAGTCGACTCAGGAGCTCTAAAACTTGGAGATCCGGCCGTCGCACGGTACGGTACGATACCGTAGATACGTATGGGTCATAATAAGTACAAGGGGTACGTAGTACTCTACGTACCGTATGACCCTTGCATATTAAAAAATGGGTTGTTGCATTTTGGATACCTTACTACCAGCGTCACAGTAGCATTTTTAGCCTTGCTAAGATTACAATGGATGTGATGACAACAAGCCTAGATATACGATGGCCGTAAAATGGAAGCAAGTTGCCAGGAGAATCAAGAAGTGCGTTTCCGAAAAACAATTATTGACGGGCGGGAGAAGCCGACCTTATCAATTCCTGGAACCATGATGCACCCAAGCTCTTCAAGGTTGATGAATTGGTAGATATAGAAGTCACAACTGGAAGCCACACATTATTCGAAAAGAAAAAGAAATACTGCAATAGAAACTACGGAGTATGTCGAAAGCATGCGGTACAGAGAAACGATTCAAAACCTTAGTGTGCTAGATCATCGTCTAAGGGACCACACCATTCCGCCATGTCGTCGAGGGATGTGGTAACAACAGACATGTCCTCGAAAATCTGAACAACGCCACGGTTTTTCTTCCCGTCCCGTTCCAACAATTGTCCCTTCGAAAATCGTTGGTGGCCGCTCAAGATGATGGCATTTCCCCCCGCTTTCGGGAGAGCGGTTTCGAGGTGTCGCTCGGGCACGGTGAGTACCTGACCGCTTCCCATTTTGAGGGTCGCCACGCCGTTTCTCGTCACGTCAACGACCACTCCTTTTTCTTTGTACATGGATCTGCCATATTTCGACGAAACGATGCGAACTCGAATGTTGGGCGTCAGCCAGGACTCTGAAAACGCCAGGGACCCACTGTTTGTCTTTCCGGACGGACGGCTACTTTGGTGGCGTTTGCTGCTGTCGTCTCCCCGGCGTATTTCATCGTCTCGCTTTCGCTTGAGGCGGTCTCTGTCCCGGTCGCAATTACCGTCCCGATACCTTCTGTCTCGGTCTCTTTTGTCACGATCCCTGTCGCGATCTCTGTCACGATCTCTGTCACGATCCCTGTTTCGTTCGCGGTCCCTTTCGCGATCTCTTCTGTCACGGTCTCTGGTCCGGTCGCGATCCCTCTCGCGGTCTTTGTCACGACCATCCTCATAGTCATCACTAGCGCGATAGCTTCGATCCCTGCTGCCCATTTTGTCCCGCCTTCGACCGTCCGAGCAATCGCCTCTCGACGATCGTTTCGGATCTCGTTCTCGCTCCCCCCGATCGCCCTCCCTGCTTTTTTTTCGACGATCCTCCTCGGCTTCTTGAAAGGGTCGCTCGTTCAGGTGGCTGCGATCGACCAGCTCGATGCTTCCCTTTTTCGTTTTGGTGGGTGCGGCATCTCCCTCGTACTGCACCAGAATCATATTTAGACCCGGGACGCCTGCTAGTTGCTTGATCCTCGCACGCGGTAGTTGCTCTTTCCTCGATCGGTCGCCGTCCCTTTGCACATAGACAATGCTCCCGATCTGCAGCACCCTTTGTTTGTCCAGAGCAAGCTGCCGTTGCCGCTCTTTTTCCATTTCTTGCTGCTGTTGCTTCAACCGTTCCTCTCGCTGCACCTGGTCCTGTCGCCGCGGCCGCCGGCGAGAGTGGGTATCGGGAGCATCGCCTGTTGCAAACATTTTGGGCGTTGCTCCGAGCCCCAACCGGGAGGGCCTCGGCATGGTGGTTGCATCGTTATTCTTTCTTTTGTTGCTGCTGTTGTTGTCGCCACCGGTCCAGCCCATACCCCGCAACATGGCTGCTCCGAATTCGCCAATGGGGACCTTCTTGTAGACCTGCGATTTGACGGAAATGTCCGGCGGAAGGTCTTCGATGTCTTCGTCGAGTTTCTTTTGGTCTTCGGTTTTGGTTGGATCGATCCCGCGTTCCCTCTCGCGCTGCCTTTGAAACGTGTCCCCGGACACGGCAATCACGCGCTTTTGGCTGCTGCCGCTGACGGTCCCATCGTGCCCACCCCCTTGAGCCGCTGCCGCTTCTCGCTCCAGGGCTTCGATGGCGGCTCGGTCCCGATCGGTCGTGGCACCGTCACTGCTGTTCCCATCGGCTTCCTGCGTGTTCTCTTCCCGTTTCACGGGGACTTCGACGCCGGCGCTCTTGCTTTCGGCTCGCCGGGCCGCATCATGGTTTCCAACATCTCCGCTCTCGACGACGTCCGGGTGTCCCGCCTCCTTTTGTCTCCTTGCTCTGGCTTGTTCCTGAAGAGACTGCCTCGAGTCCTTTTGACAAGGTATGACGAGGGGTTTCTTTGGGATGTCGGTGTTGACGTCGTTTCCTTCGTCGAGGGATTGGTCCTCGTCGTCGTCGCTAAATGCGGATCCCGATAGGGCCGCCGATGTTGCTCGGTTTTGGGCCTTTTTGTTGGTGGCTAACGAAAAGCCTATTTTCTTGGCTCCCCCGTCAGTTGCGTCTCCCTTCTTCGTGTTCATCTTTCCGCTTCTTTGCAACGACGAGGGCGGGGATGATGGCGTGAACGGATGGTGTGATGACACTCGGAACCCTGCCTCCAGAAGGAAAGGGAAATGAATCGACCGATACAAAATGAGATCATCGAAGAGCACACGGTACCAGGTACATCATGAACGGCTTGTATTCATCGAGTCCTGAACCCAACTCGGCGCAGGGTAGTTGTACCAGTACAAACATACGTACCTTACAGTAACATAGTAGGTACAAAAAAGCATTCCCACAGCGTGTAAAATCAGCCAATGAAAACAAAGAAAAATCTTGTTCGGTAAGTGTCGTCACCTTTCACGCTCAGCTTGCTTCCTCAACGAAAGGAAACAAGTCAGATTTTCGAACCAACTCGAAGGCAAAAACTGTGCACGAAAAAATGAACACAGCTGATACGAAATACCAGTACGACATACAAACCCACACGCAGTAACATCTGGCGATCGTTGAATCCCAACATCCGTCCCAGAAGCGCCAAGACCATAGACTTGTCGAATCGAACTCCTTCCAATCCGCCCTATAACGGAATCATAGACGTCCAAACAAGCACGGAACGCAACATCCACAATGAGAGTCGTCCTCTTTTCTTCCATTGTGCTATCGGCATCGGCATTCCTCTCGCCATCGCCGCAAAGGATTGCTCCCACAGCGGTTTTCTCCACGGCCGAAGCAGACATTGATGCTTCGGTAGAAATGGCTAAGGAAGAGCTGTTGCAGCTCTCCAGGGATTTCAAGGAACAATACGGAGTGATTCTCATCGATACCAAGGCCAAAGAATCCTTCCGGAAGGCCGTCGAAAAATTGGAGAGCGTCGCGGAGGCCTCCACCGACTCGTCCATGCTTGTCGGGGACTGGAATCTCGAGTGTAGTTCCGCCAGCAGCGGAGCCAGCTCAAAGATCGAAATCGATACCAACAAAATTCCGTTCTTCAACGAGGGTCCCCTTAAGGACATTCGCAGCACCCTGAACGATTCCGTGGGCGTCGTCCAGCGCATCAAATTCGGTGAAATGTCGAACAGCATCGACGCCATCGACCACATCATCGACTACAGACCGCCCAACCAACTGTCGTCGTTCCTCAAAAACATCCCCGATGCTCTGAAAAATCTTGACATCAATCCGGTAAGTATGCGGTTGCTGCTGTGGTTTGTACGATGCTGTATCGCACCAGTGTGCTGATGGAGAGTGATCCAAGCACTGTATCATTCAGGGCGTGAATTCTCGTTATCAATGTCATGGAATTGCTTTTTATCTCACAAAAATATTGTTTCGGACTTTAGCTGAAAGTGAGTGACACAAAGGTTGTCTTAAAACACAAAGCAGAAGTTGAAGGCACAATTCCGGTAATCAAAACAAAACTAAGTCTCGAGGCCGTCGTCGGTAAGTAACAAAACATAATTGAGAATCATCTCGTTTGCAAAGCAAGAAACCCCACTATATCGTGATAACGTACAACATGAATTGAAGAGCCAAACTATGGTCGTGTTCGTTTGGATCGGATCCATTCGAATATATTCTATTCGGGAACCAATATTCACCCATCCTTCTTTGTTTTCCCAATTTTTTTGTTGTCGATTTGCAACGGATACGAGTAGTGAACGTTGCGGGTGAATCCAAAAACCTCGATCCGAACGGGGAAGATGTTCTGGGCATCAACATTCCTTTTGGTGAATTCCTCAACGCCGGATCATTCGATACTACCTACGTAGACGACTCGATGCGAATCAGTCGGAGCAAGGTCGGTCCCGTGGATCAAATCCGCGTATTCGTTAAGGCAGACAACACCGAGAGCGACGCCGACGAGGAGGTCGTAGCTGCAACTGTTGTCGAGGACGATGATCTGGACGATGATGAAATCGTTGATGATGACCTCGACGACGACGAAATCGTTGAAAGTGCAGTTGATGCCGAGATTGTTGAGGAGAAGGAAGACAACGAGGACGCGGACGAAGACGTGTCACCTTCTGATGTTGAGAATTAATCATTCGTAGAAATTCGTTTAATTGAAATGGAACCAGTTTTGTTCATTGAACGCAACCAGGCACATCGTATTTGATCCTCTAATAGTTGTACCACTAAACAGAACGAGTACTTCCTCATGCCGGATTCTGTACTTCAGAATACTGGAGGCAGAAGCGCGTCTCCGTTTCATCTAGAGGAAGAGTAAAACCGTTGATCGACAGTTGTGGCCCATTTTACCCATGCTTGGTGTAGCGACCGAGTAATGGTTGGCACTGATATGTTCTATCACAAACTTCATTCACAGTGAAAACCAAGATCTGACACGAAAGTAAACGCCTCAAGTTTCAACAAGTTTTGTTGTGTCTGGGTGGTACCAAAGACTACTGAGGGATACACACTACAGTACTAGTTCCCATGCCGACACTAATTTCGAGGGCATAATACTACGGTACAAGCACACTATCTACTGATTGTGACATTCCATTTGTTTGGATTCTGTTTCGTGAATGTGGAGATTAAAATCTCCGGTTTGTTTTTGTTTTGTTCTTTTGTTGGTATTCAGTTTTGTGTGAAAGAGACACAGATGATGCGCTTATCCACCGAATCCGTAAAGGGTACGTCCTTGACGCTTGAGGGCGTAGACAACGTCCATGGCAGTGACGGTCTTACGGCGGGCGTGCTCGGTGTAGGTGACGGAATCACGGATGACGTTCTCGAGGAAGACCTTGAGGACTCCACGGGTTTCTTCGTAGATCAATCCAGAGATACGCTTGACACCACCTCGACGCGCAAGACGACGGATGGCGGGCTTGGTAATACCCTGGATGTTATCACGGAGGACCTTTCTGTGACGCTTGGCTCCTCCCTTTCCGAGTCCCTTTCCTCCTTTTCCTCTTCCAGACATGGTTTGATAGTTTGTTTTCTTTTAAAAGTATTTTAGAAGCCGAAGACTGAGGTAGTCGAAGAGTAATGAAAATTGTGAGAAGCTAGTTTGATTCAGGATCGGTCTGCCGACAAAGAGCTCATACTGTGTTGAGGCCGCAATTGCAGGTATGCTTTGGAACTCGCGCCATAGTCGATAGACATTGTAGTAAGTCTCGCAACCGTTTCAGAATGCTCACCTTTATATTTTGTGAGACTGAGAGAGAAGCAACCGATAAAACGTGCGACGGCCAATTTTGTAGTTGATCCATCGCTCGTAACGTCTCGTTCTGTTCATTCCCACATTTCTTTTGATGCAGAGAGGAATACGTAGACTCTACTAGAACTTCTACTTAAAGTGAAAGTATTTTCACCAATTTAAAAAATAGCGCACGTACATAAGGAAGGACCGCGCCACATTTGAAATTCGGTCTCCGATCCGTTTATCCCGTAGGCTTTTTACGACAACCTACGGAAGCCTTCKAACGCAGGCCAGTTTGCTCGCATGGACCCGGAAGTAGTCAATCGCGAGCGGATAAACAAGAAATCACAATACACACGACGAATGGCGTCGCCTTATTCGCTGATCGATAGTCTCACAATAAATCTGTTCAACCAAATCAAATCGACAAATTCCAAAATGGCCCGAACCAAGCAAACCGCCCGCAAGTCCACCGGAGGAAAGGCTCCCCGCAAGCAGCTCGCCACCAAGGCAGCAAGAAAGTCTGCCCCCGCCACCGGAGGAGTCAAGAAGCCCCACAGATACCGACCCGGAACTGTCGCTCTTCGTGAGATCCGTCGTTACCAGAAGAGTACCGACCTCCTCATCCGAAAGCTTCCCTTCCAGCGTTTGGTCCGTGAGATCGCCCAAGATTTCAAGAGTGATCTTCGATTCCAAGGATCTGCCGTCTTGGCCCTCCAAGAAGCCGCCGAGGCCTACTTGGTCGGTCTCTTCGAAGATACCAACTTGTGTGCCATCCACGCTAAGCGTGTCACCATCATGCCTAAGGATATTCAATTGGCCCGCCGTATCCGTGGCGAGCGCTCTTAAGCATTCAGTCAATGAACCAGTCGCAATTGCAATAGAACAAAAAGAAAAACGAAACAAACCGGAGATTTTAATCTCCACATCTGAAAACAGAATTCATGAAGCTGTCAAGCGGACTACTTCTTCTATGTTGTCTTCTTTTCCATACGCAAAGCCTTACTTCGTCGCGATAAGAAGTTGTCTAGTAACGGTCGCTGTCTGTGTGGTTGAGTATGACTACAACCTTCTTCGTCTCGATCTGCTGTCGTGGCTGTCTACCCATCATGATTGTTCATAGCTATGTATGTACTCCGTCTTCATACTCGATGAGTCCTTTTAAAGGAAGAATGCAAATAATCTCAGAGCATTAGACACAGCAAACGAGGCAGACGGAAGTTAAGAGAGGATAAGACAGCAATGATTTTTTCCATTGCAGGAGGATGATGGCGGTCATTCGGATTGTTAAAATTTTTCACATAAACTCTTACTACTTGTGACAGAAATTTACCGGTGAAATATCGGTACGCCAAAGGAAATATGAAGTCTTTGATTACAGAGGAGTAAAAACTGTAGTGCACTGCACTGTTAAATATGACCAGTTTTCGCAAAGACCCTGGGTTTTCTGAAAAAAAATAAATCGAGGCTATTCTTAAAACGGATGCGCTGTTCTCGTGGAAGACATAGCGAAGCAGACTCTATGGAATTTACTGGCGACGACGGCAGAGCATTATGGCTCGGTGCCTTTTTCCTGTGTCACCGCTGCGGCCTTCTTGGCTTTTTGCTTGGCTCTTTTTTTCGCGTTTTTCTTTCTTCGCTTTTCAATTTCTTCCGGGGTCAATTCTTTCTCTGTCGTAGTTGAAGGAGCATCGTTGTTGTCCGTTTGATTGTTGTCGTCGCCATTGTCTTGGCTGGATGCATTTTCGTCATCTTGGGAGAAGTTTCCGCCGCCACTGGATGCGGCCTTCCTCGCCATTCTACGACTGCGTCTCGAGGAAGAGGCTTTTTGGTCGTTGCTGGCAGAGCAACTAGTTTTAGCGTTTTCCATTTCTGCTTTACCGCACGCTTGATCCGCCGCCTCCAGTGCAGCTTCAATATCGCCCTCAAAAAGCTTTGGATAATGCTTCTGGTTGTAATTCATCGACAGCTTTGCAAATGTCTTTCGGTCTTTTTCTGACGCCCTGAGTCCTCCTGTTGTCAGCTCATCGCTGGCCATGAATGATTGGATGCCTTGGATGATTGTGGCGACTTTCCACATTGGGTTCCAAGATTCCGGATGGAAATCAGTCATGGACATGCAGATTTTGGTGCTGATCTGGAATCGTCCGCTCGGCGTGAGCATGTAGACAGATGGCGCTGCCATTGGGTATTCAGGAGGGAATATTATTTTCCCAATATATATTCCCCCTTCATAAGGAGTTTCCGTAGGTCCGCGAATCGCATAATGCCACTTTAGAATGTTGGATTCGTCCGGCTCTGCGATGATGCCCGGAGGTGGTTCGGTCTTTAGGTTGATTAGTTCTTTCCTAAGTCGTCTCGTAGCTACTGCCGGTGCCATGATTCGAATGTTTCGGTTTCGTCTACTACTATTGTATTGCACTTTCCAACCTGCACAGAATCAAAATGCTGGTTGTTTCATTGGTTCTCGTACCGTAGTTTCGATGTTCACATCAGAATGAAAACGAAAAATAACCTTCAGATAAGGTTAGAGAGTGTTATATTTTACAAAAGGGACTGTACGTGAATTCAGTACGTACGTACGTAAGTACTTATGTAGCTGTACAAAAATCCGTAGTACAGTACGTATGTAATGTACAGTTTTACATTATGAAGTACAGTATTTTTAATCATGTACAGTACGTACTCGTACTTGTAAGACAATAATAAAGGCACAATTATGGAGTCACAACAAAATGAAGGATGACCAAAAACCCTCAATTTCAATCAGGCAATTGAAATGCCAGAAATACGGGCACGGATCAGTGGGGTCGGCTCTAAGCCCTCATATCAGTACGATCATCGTTCAATTCCATACCACTGGGTTCGTTGCCGTAGAGTGGAACGTACCGTGCCTTGTGCTTCTTGTGCCAAATTTCAATTTTAAAGCGTTGAAGAGCAACGAAAACCTTCTTGTTGACTTCGGTTCTAACCGGCTCCTAACAACTTGGCACAAGAACCTACTCTAACCTATCTTTTTAGAATCAGCGTTGCATTGAACACAAACATTGAACACGATCAGTTCACCAAATGATGAACATTCCGTGTAATTCGACGGCTGTGAGCAGGAGGATAAGGAGAGCCTTCCTCTTTGTTCTCCTCGTACAACTCTCGCACGATTGGACTACCCGAACCGCGACAATCGTCGACGCGTCGTACTTCAACTACCAACAAACGCTTGTCATCCCTTCCTGCAAAGACCATGGAATCAGCTCGGGGCCCTTGATGGAAGAACAATGCGTAGCTCATTGCTACCCGTTAGAGATGGAAGCCTTCGATTATGTGGACAGCGAAGAAGACCCGGAGTACTTGATTCGGAATACCGTCTGCAGGTGTTACGCGGATTCGGAATCTGCCTCGACCCCGAGGAGAAAGATATCGGAATGCCACACAAGGTCGCAGGTTTGGGACAAAAGAAAACCGCCCATGTCGTGCCTCGGTACGTATGGGATCAATAGCCTTGCGACGTGCCAAGAGTATTGCAAACGGGTCGACCCCAAAGCATTCTCTTACAAGGGTTCCGAAGGAGATAGCACGTGCGAATGTGCCGAAAGGCTCATTTGCGACGACGAAATAAGTAGTGCTACGATTGCAAGTTCTTTGGTATCGATTTCATTAACACTATGGGCGGGATGCCTCCTGATGCTTTGATCCTAGCCGTTGAATGTGGCATTGATGCTCGGTTTGAACGACGGGTATGAAAATTGGTGTAGTTGTAGTTCTGTGTTCGATCACGGTTTCGATGAAGTCCGCCAAGGGCAAAGTAGACACAGTAGATATTGTAATGAAGAAATAATAGATGCAAGCAAAAAACCTTGGAAGTAGCTACGACGATCACCAGCACAAACGAGGTGCTGCGACAAGTAGACAAAGAAGCACTTGCTCCTTTACCAAAAAAGTGAACTCTTCAATCGACTCTAAACAACCATAGTGAGCAAGTAAAAAATAAAGCATAACAAATTTGTCACTCATCATTGCACCAAATGTTACAAATAATGGGCATGTCGAAAGGTCCAATTCCGAGTGTTGGGCATCTTGACCGATGGACACCACTGAATGCTGGTGCCCTAAACTTGCTTGTAATGACTTGGATGCCTTTTGGTATTGCCAGCCTTTTTTGTCAGCCTTTTGGTGCCACCCCACCGGTGCAACAAGCAAAAACAGCAAGAATTTAATCCTCATTTCTCCTCTCTTGGTCGTGCCCATTGTCCGTGCTTGTTTGGAATAGTTTGCACAACAAGAACAAGCCTTGAAGCCTACTACCCTAAAGCAGATGTTTCTTCATACAATCATATCCTAGTACTATTGTGCTCTTCTCTAGTAGTCCTACTAGCTCTTGAACAATGAAAAAAGACAACCAACTTGAGAGGTGCGGAAGAGACAGCAGAAGAAACCAACAAGAAGGACGATCAACTTCTTCAATCCATAGTGCATTGATTAGTCCTCCTTTGGATTCTTCCTTCTGGACTCTAGTACAAAGGAACAGGCTCTTCTCAACTGATGATATCATGGCATGGACCACAGATTCTTCTTTAGGGACAACCTCATGAGGCTCTTTATGCCTGTTTTTGATGGACACCACCAGCAGCACCATGATGTTCTTGGTATGGCAACAAGAATTGATTCCCACCATGGCTGGACTCTGCTGCCACCATTAAATGATAGTATACCAAAGAAAGAATCAAATACAAAGTTTTCTGGAGATTCCACCAGCACGAACAAGAACAACAAGGAGGACAAACAAGAACAAGAAGACAAAGAAAAAGAAAAAGTTATTTCTTACTAGACTTCTTGATGTTAGTTTTTGAAGGGGCGGTGCATCTGTCACTACTACTAATGCTAGTACCAGTACTAGTAATCCTTTCAATCCGTCTGAACTCCCAGACTTAAGATTGACAGGACTCATCCAGCAATAACAGAATTCTAGTTACGTCACGTCACGTTAAATTTAGATACTGAAGTACTTGTACTATGAAACAAATGTCGTGATCCCAACAATGAGGGTCTGATGGTTTTTGGCTGACTCCCGAATCGGGAGTCATCCTCAACCTTTTTTTCCGTACCGTTAATACGAACTGGGCTTGATCTCGCATGCTTCGCCGGCTACGGTACTACGAGTACCGTACGTAACCGTTGAGCAGCTCAACATTTCCATGTACTCGGCTCGCGTGGTATTTTCTAGGGACACGATTTCTTGAGCAGCTTGCGCCGTACAAACACTAGTTATTTTTTGCTTAAGTACATGCACCTCAACTGGTTACAAACCGCGCGGACTGAATTTTGTAACCAGAATTTTGTAACCAAACCCTTCCTTAAGGAGAGCCCATATTTTTACACGATACTACTAGTAGTGTGGTTACAAAAAAAAGGGTCTGGTTACAAAAACAGGCGCAATGGTTCCCTTGTGCGCGCTTGTAACCAGGAATTTGCACCTCAACAGGTACAAACTAAAAAACTGTCTTCACTACTGTGAATACGTAGTATCAGTAATTGTACACAGTATCTGTACTGTACTAAAAAAATTAGAGCAAACTGATCTTGATTGCTATTCCAGTACAAACTCGTGTAGAAAACACTGTAGAAATATTGATATGCAGGGGGAAACAAGCAAAACACCAGGAGAACGCCGTATCGTATCAGCGTCCTCCATATCAGCAACTCGTATCGTATCAGCGGCTCCTCCGTATCGTATCAGCGTCCTCCGTATCAGCAACTCGTATCATATCAGCGGCTCCTCCGTGTATCATCGTATCAGCGTCCTCCGTATCGTATCAGCAGCTCCTCCGTCGTATCGTATCAGCGCTGGCTCCTCCGTAGTATTGTATCAGCGCAGATTCCTCCGTATCGTGTCAGCGCTGAGGACTCCTCCGGATCAGCGCTGAGTACATGGAAATGTTGAGCTGCTCAACGGTTACGTAAATATCTGTGGAAGAGCTCTGCTTCAGCGCAACAAGTATCTTCAACACCAACAAGCTCTCAAGCTAAAGCTCTCAAGCTTGTTGGTGTTGAAGATACTTGCAGTAACATCACTTCGATCTCGAGCTAAAGCTCTCGATCTCAGTGATGTCACTGGTGTAACCAAATTGTACCAGAAAATGTACTCTGTTGAGGTCTGTGTTATTTGTGTGGGAAAAGTTTTGTACTGTGTGTTCTCGAGCTTTTAAGCTCGAGAACACACAGTACAAAACTTTTCCCACACAAATAACACAGACCTCAACAGAGTACATTTTCTGGTACAATTTGGTTACACGCGCTGCGCGAGCTCCTCCACAGATACTATATACTCGTACAGGACACGACATGCGTCGAACTCGTCGAACGTGCCAAACAACGCATGCAGTTGCCCTGGTGCTATACCGTACGGATTCGCGTCCCAAGCACTGCCCCTACCCCAGACTCGTGACATAGCACTCGGTACCACCATTGCCTTTGGCCTAGCTCCGTCAAAAGCCGCGAAAGACAGAGTGACGAGATACCGGGAAGAACAGAACCGACCGGCGTTCGATTTCGACCGAGCAACCGAATTGCACCGACGTGCTGCGTCGCGAATCGAATCGAACCGAGTCCATCGATTCCAATCCAATTCAATTCATTCCGATTCAATTCATTCCAATTGCTTCCGATGAAACCGAATCGAATCCGATCGGGCTTCCTCCTCGCCGCCGCGATTTCGGGGCTCCGGACGGCGGAAGGAAGGGGTGGCACCGCTGCGGCGATTCCGGAGGTCCTCGCGTCGTCGTCTCCCGGTGGGACGCTGTACTCGTGCTTCCTTGCGACCGACCCCGGCGGCCCCCCGGAGCGGGAAGCGTGCTGCGGGGCCATTGCAGGGGCCCGGGATCCGGGGGGAGGCCCCTCCGACCACGCCCGCTGCCTGGCGGAGATGGCGGAGGTTCCGTCCGGTGTTTCGTTGGGTGGGGATCCCGGGGACACGGCGCGATACGCCTGGGCGGTGCCCGGGGACGGATCCGGATCGGCGGAGCAGCGCCTCGGGCGAGAGACCGTCCGAACGATCTCGCCCTACCACAAAACGGCCGTTCCGGTTCCGGGGATAGAAACGGGGCTGGTGGTGTCTCGCCTCGGGGCGGAGGGAGGGATGCACCGGCTCTTCCACCACGAGATAACGCTGCCGGGGACTCCCGCGGGGGATTCCGGCGCCAACCCACGATACTATTTGTACGTGACGGTCCCTTCGGGAATGTTCATCGACCTGGACGATCCCTTTGAGGCCCCCCAAGGGGGAAGGATCGAGCCGGCGGCGGCGGCCCCCGGTGGCGATGCCTCGCGGGACGCCGGCTTCGAGGCCACCTGCACCACGGGGCCTTCTGCCGGCACGGAAACCGGCCCCGCGGTGTCCTTCCGGGCCAGGCTGCACGCGGCGGCGGTCTGCGACATCGAGCAGCCCTCCTTTGCGAGCGGCCAGCACCTGCTGGTGTGGGAGCTGGAGGTTCTCGGCGCAAGCAAGCCGGGAGCAACGGAACGCATCGGTTTTGCCACCAAGCTGCACCTGCGGTACCCGCGGCCCTCGCCGGACGGCGAGCGGTGGATCGACCTGCCCGCGCCGGTCCTGGTCGACCCCGTGGGCGGCGGCCGGATCGCCGGCTGGGAGGACCCCGTCCGGGTGGCGGCGGGGAGGGACGGGGACCACGACTGGATCGTGGCCGCGACGGTCGGCGCCTGCCTGGTCGGCGTGGCCGCGATGGTCCGGGACATCTCGGGGGTCTCCCTGTGGGACGATGCGTAGCGCAGTGCAGCGAGGGAGACGGGAGGCTTGTCTTGGCTCGTGCGCGATGGCGAGGGGCCGCGTTCGATCCGCGGACTTTTGGGTGGGAGAGGAGGAACCCTCGTGGGCGGAACGGACGGACGGCGGAGAGATCGCGCGTGCGAAGGCCCGCGTTCTGCCGGGCAAGGAAAGCCGCGACCGCGGTCCGGAACGGTCCGGGAGTGGTTTCTCCTCCTCGGGACGGCGCATAGGAACGGTCGGGTGGTTGTCCTTCGAACGTACCTCCCATCCATCGTTCCGCAGCGACGAGTCAATCCTTTTGGGAGCAACGCCAAGAGGCTGCGGGCCGTGGTTCGTCTCTCTCGTCCCGCACGGCGGTGCTTCGTGGTCGGTTTTGCCAACCGGGGTTTGTGAATCAGGATCCGCGGGCTGGCAACGTCCTTCGTTTTCGTGCCGTGCGGTTGTCCGAAAGGAGCTAGCGCATCGGGGTACTGTACCGAACTAGCACGGCAGCAAGCACCGGTGCGAAGCGAAACCGAAGCGACCGTCCGCACGGTGGGGCAGCGCAGGCCACCGTGCGGCACCCCTAGGTGCGCGGAACAGCTTTTTGGGTGCCACAGCCGAAGCTACCAAAATGATTCGCAAGGGAACGTACGGTACTTTCGGCCAAAGCTAGTAAAATTATTACGGTAACAAGGGAACGTAGTTTCATTCACTCGATGCCTGAATCCATCCACCTTATTTGTCTAGACCGATGTCTCTCTTGACTTTTGATTTGCTTCGTGGGTAACTCCTAATTCCTACGGTATCGTAGCTAGGACAGTTTTGGGTTGATTCCTGGGTTCATGGATTCGTTCGTGATGAGATTTTTTTCGAAAAAATCTTTTTCGTTTTTTTTATTTAGATTAAAAAAAAACAGCAATTGCGGGGCGAGGTAGGCACCATCGGAAGGAAAGGGGGGTTGATTTTGGATTTGCGCGCGCCCTGCTTCCGGTGTGCCCGGCCTGCATTGCGATTGCCCTTCCCGTTCTGTTCCGTACAGTACATACTCTATTCCTACGCACGTAGAATGAATATCCACCGGTAGGAAAAGGGATGGCGCGCCAGCTTTGGAATCTGGAACAAGACAACCGATTGCATCGCTCCGAAGCAGCTTGTTTCGTAGAATACCGTACGGTAGGTAGTCCCTACTTCGTACTCCGCGAGGAAAACGAGATGGTTGTTGTCGTCGATGGTGTTTGCCGCAGTTTTTTTTGTTTCGGCATTGGGCACCAATCCCTATTGTACTCTTTGTGCTCCCTCGTCGCCTGCTTAGTACCCCAAAAACATCCAACGACAAGAACCATTGCGAAATTCGAAACCGCGATACAAGGTGGATCGAGCAAACAAACAAGCAAGCACACAACGCCCCAGCTCTTCGGTGACTAGCTCCGTGGAAACAACCTTTCGCTTTATTGTGCCATTTTTCCGGAAACACACCAAACCAAACCGCAACGCAACGCAACGCAAGCCCACCCCAACGCAGCTCTGGCACCACGCAACACGATCCGCACCGATACAATGTCGAGCAGCACCGGCAGCAGCAGCGAAAGCGGAAGGGTGGTTTCGATCGCCGTCCTGGTCGGTTCGTCGCCGCATTCCGGCGGCGGCCCCGACGCCACGACCGTTCCGCTGGTCGTCTGGACGCTCATGGAGAAGGCCCGGGCCGCCGCAGGGGAAGCCGGGGCACCGAGCAAGCACACCCACGACCTGGTCTACTACGAGTTCCTGGACGACACCGCCGGCTGGAACCACCTCGACCGGTTGCTCCTGCAGCTCTGCGACACGAACGACGAAGACGGCGACACCGACGGCGGCGATTCCCCCGGCCCGCCCGACGTCCACCTGGGGTCGACCGAGCGCCTCGAGAAGGACACCCCGGGCAAGCCCGACAAGCCCGGGGCGGCCCGGGCCCGCAAGCTCCTCGGCTCCCTCGAGCGCTTTCTCGGGGGCCGCCTGGGGTACTCGCCGGACGGAAGCACTCCCGGCAAGGTCCACCGGCACCCCTCGGTACCGGTGGACGCCTCGAGGGTCGAGGACTCCCTGTCGGCCCTCCTGATCGACGACGAGGGCTGCCGGCTGGCCGTCCGGGGCGACGTCAAGCTCTCCAGGCCGGCCGTCCGGCAGGGGCTGGCCCTCTGGCTGCGGTCCCAGGGGCTCTACGGCGAAGCCAACCACCACCGAGAAAGCGCCCGGGACCTGGAGGGATCCCTGCGGGTCCGGTCCGGGAGCCTCCGCAGCTGCCTGGCGATGGACGCGACGGCCGCCAGGGCCGTCCACCTGCTGCCCCCGGCCAACGAGGGGGAGGCGGTCGTGGTGGGGGGGACCCCCTCCACCAGCTCGCTCTGGGGACTCCTCTCGGGGCCCTGCCTGACGGCGATGGGGAGGAAGCGCCTCCGGGTCTGGCTCCGGCAGCCGCTGGTCGACGCGGGGGCCATCGCGGACCGCCAGGACGCCGTCGGGGCCCTCCTGGCCGGGACGGCCCGGGACTCGCTCCGGGACGGCCTCCGGCCCCTGGGGGGGAACCGGGGAAACGGCCCCGCGAAACTGGGGCCGGCGCTGGCCCGGTACCGGCGGGAGGCCGGCGGCGATGACGGCGACGATGCCGATGCCGATGAAACCAATGCGAGCGACGGGACGGCGGCCGTCGGGAGGATCGTGGACACCAAAAAGCCCCTCGAGGTCCTCTACCATCTCTACGTCCTGGCCTCGCACCACCTGCCCCACCTGCTGGAATGCATGGAGCCCCTCGCGCCAGGGAACGGCGGAGGCGGGCAAGGGTCTTCCCTCCTGGCCGGCCTCTACGAGCAGACCGCGGCGCTGGCGGGGCAGCTGGAGCGGTCGGTCGGCCTGGCCGAGGCCGTCCTGGACCTGGCCAAGGCCCCCGACGACTTTCTGGTCCGGGCCGGTTACGACGAGGAGCTCGGGGAGGTCCACCGGGAGCTGGAGGCCGTCCGGTCCGCCGTCAAGGACGAGCACGAGCGCGTCCAGGACGCCTGGAACGAGGTTTCCCCCGGCAGAGCCTCCCAGGTCCGCCTCGAGCGGGTCGAGGACCAGACGGCCTGGCAGTTCCGCCTGCCCGACGCGAACGACAGCAAGAACGTCCGGGAGGCGGGGCGGAAGATCCAGGTCCACCGGATCCTCAAGAACGGCGTCTACTTCTCCAGCCTGGAGCTCCGGGAGCTCTCGGCCCGGTACCGGGACCTCCGGTCCGAGCACGCACGCCTGTCCCGGAGGATCGTCCGGGACGCCATGGCCATCGCGGCGACCTACGCGGGGGTCGTCGAGCGGGTGGCGGACACCATCGGGACCCTCGACGTCTTTTGCGCACTGGCCCACACGGCTGCCATGAGCCCCCACGGGTACTGCCGGCCCACCGTCACCGACAGCGATGAGGACGGCGCCGGGATCCGGCTGAGAGAGGCCCGGCACCCCTGCGTCGAGCTCCAGGAGAACATGGAGTACATCCCCAACGACATCGACCTGACCTTCCCGGGGGCGCAGCTCCTGGTGAGCGGCCCCAACATGGGGGGAAAGAGCGTCTACATCCGGTCGCTGGGGGCCATCGTCTGCATGGCACAGATCGGGAGCTACGTCCCCTGCGAGTCGGCGACGATCAACGTCTGCCACTCCATCCTCGCCCGGGTCGGCGCCGGGGACCTCCAGGAGCGGGGGATCAGCACCTTTATGGCGGAAATGCTCGAGTCGTCGTCCATGCTCCGGGCCGCCACCAAGCGCAGCCTCGTCATCATCGACGAGCTGGGCCGCGGGACCTCAACCTTTGACGGGTACGGACTGGCCAGGGCCATCCTGGAGTACCTGAGGGACCGCGTCGGCTGCATGGTCGTCTTTGCGACGCACTTCCACGAGCTAACCCACCTCGAGGGGGTCAAGAACTGCCACGTGACGGCCCGCAAGGGGAGCCAGGGACTGACCTTTCTCTACAAGGTCCGTCCCGGCCCGTGCCTCGAGTCCTTCGGGATCCAGGTGGCCGAGATGGCCCACGTCCCGAGGGCCGTCATCGAGGACGCCAGGAAACGGGCCAGGGAGCTCGAGCGCTTTGTCGATGCCGGGGCCGAGGGGGGAGCGGCCGCCGGTGGCGACGCCAAGGCGGCCCTCCGGCGGTTTGCCGGGCTGGACCTCCCGTCGGTGGTGGAGGAGCTCTCCACCCTCGCCCCGGAAGCGAAACGGGCCAGGCTCCTGTCGCTCGTGTCGCCGTGAGCGAGGAAACGAAGGTGCAGATGCAGCGCAGCAGCCCCTTTCCGGAACGCGGGGCCCGCTGGAGCAGCGCCTTCCGCCTGTGGCCCGGACCCGGCGGTTGTTTCTGTGCGGGACAGCCGGGGGGATTTCCCGGCCCACAAACAAAGACGGACTCGGGTTTTGATGGAACGAATCAAAATCAATCCATCAATCAATCGCCCGAAAGCAATCATCGTACGGTACTACCGTCCTCATACGTGGTAAAGTACATACTACAGTAAAGTAGAAGAATAATTAGTGATCCTAGTACAAAAACCTACAGTACGAGCTACTCCACTTCGTACGGTATGATGAGAGTCAAATAAATATCTTTCGAGATCATGAGATTTACACGTTGTTCGCATGAATCAAATCTCACATCTCGAAAAGTGTCCGTTCACGTCTTCTCGATTGGTTGTGGCACCTCACGGTACGACTACGAGTACACACATATCCGAAGTTTGCAAATTTGAACATACTATCGCCGTCTTCGCGATATCACTTGAAACGACAGGAGCCAATTGGATAGAGTCGCCATGAGTGCATCCAGCAGCGGCAGCAAAACTACCGTCACCTTGTCGAACGGCGTGGAGATGCCGGTTCTCGCGCTGGGATCGGCTCCCCTGTCGACCAGCAACGACGACACCTCCCATTTCCACGCGCTGAATTCCTTCAACGGGTTTTTGCCGGAACAGGCCTTTCGGAGCTTGCACGCCGCACTGGAGGCAGATCCCGGCGGTGCCGAATCCCAAGCGACTCCGGTGCACATCGATACCGCCATGTATTATCGAACCCATCCCCACGTTCGCCAAGTTTTGGGAAACGCGCTGGCTACCGGAAGGAAGCAGCGATCCGACGTCTTTCTGACCTCCAAGGTCTTCCATCCAAACTTTGGGGATGCCTTTGGTTCGGAAGACCTCGGCCACTGTATGCCGCTCGATCCAAAGTGCGAAATGACCTACGACGATGTCTACAAGTTTGTCTATCGCCAGTTCCAGCAATCACTGAACGAGTGCGGGGTTGGATACTTCGATTTGGTCCTCTTGCACTGGCCGGGAAGAAACCACCCCGAGACCGATGCCTCCCGAAACGCGCAGCACCGCCTTGCCGCTTGGAACGTCCTGGAGCACTGCTACTCGAAGGGGTGGGCCAGATCGATCGGCGTGTCCAATTTCAGCGAGCACCACCTGGAAGAACTCCAGAGCATGAACGAAGCCGCCAAGGCGAAGGACAAGGAAACGAACAACACCAAGAACGGCTCCGTGGCAGTTCGGCCACACGTCAACCAGATCGAGGCCAGCGTCTTTCTCCAGCATTCCAAGATTCTGGACTACTGCCTGGCCCACGGGATTGTTGCCGCGGCGTATTCGCCCCTGGGAAGGGGGGTAACCCACGTCGCGACCAACACCGTGGTACAAGATATTGCGGGCAAGCACGGCAAGGACGCGGGGCAGGTCGCCATCAAGTACCTCCTCCAGAAGGGCTACGGGTGCGTCGTCTTTTGGTCCACCAACCCCGAGCGCATACGCAGCAATCACCAACTCTACGATTTCGATCTGGACGAAACGGAGATTGCAGTGCTCGATGGATTGAACCGGTCGGACGGAACGGGAACGTGGGGGCTCCTCTCGCCCTATAAGATCCCATAGAGAAGATGCTCTCCTGTATTAGAGTACCGTGCAGTGTGGACCGGACCGATCAGGACTAAAATCGGTTCCCGATTCTCTCCTGTATTCGAGTGCCGTGCAGTGTGGACGGAACAGGACTGACAACGTTTCCCGATTCATTATCGTCACTCTACGAGATCGTCGTGCTACCATACGGTTTTCTTCATGAGGGTTAAGCAATAGCCAAAGGTTTTAAGACGTATTAGATCACGGTGTTTCTTCTAGACGACTGCTTTCTTATTGTTTCCGCGGTGACGAAACGTGGTATCTCTTCTACACACTGTATTTAGATCTCTGATAGACAAAGTCCAATCCTTTCCTCTTGCGGATGACAAAGTCTTTCGACTTTTTTCTGTAAAGATAAAGTATGCTCGCTCGATGAAGTGAAAGATTCAGTTTTGGACTACGCTGTACTAAGCTGAAGTCGCATTCCGTTGCAAATAAAAATTAGAAGTAACTAATAATCGCTACTACAAAAACAAGTATTCGACTCGATGCGCAAGGGTAGGGCTCCGATGCTTGCTATCACTTCTCGTCTAAAGCAGCAGTTCGATACAAGACGTGCTAGTTCTCTCAATTCTTTTTGCTGGTCTTTCCGCGGCGCACCTTTTGGGGCGATGCTCCTGCCTGGGGAGCTATCGTGCCACCACCGCCCCCTTGTTGTTGCTGCTGCTGTCCCTGTTGTTCCTTGGGAGGCTCTTCTGGCACCTGAAGGACTTGCAAAATCATCATCGGCAGAATGATGTACCAGTACTTCGAGAAAAACCCAAAAGGACCGGGAGGGGTGGTGGGTGCCTCGGGATCCTGGTAGGATTCACCGTCGTCGGTCCCGCCTCGCTGCTCCCCACTTCCCCCCGGTGGCTGTTTCACAAAGGCAATCCCCGGCGGGGGTTTCGACTGCGGCAGGATGTTTTTGATGGTCATGGCGGGGGTGTCCAGCTGGACCGATACCCTGCTCGAAAAGGACCTGGTGGTGCCGTCGCTCTCGTCGTCGTAATCGTCGCAGTTCTTGGGTGCCAGGGGACTGACCAGTGGCGTGTAGGCAAAACTGGTCATGGGATCCTGGCGATCATCCAGGCTGCTGCGTGGTAGCGTCACGTCGAACTGATCCTTAAAATTGGCCCGCCGCAGGTTACAGGCCGGAACCGTCTGGAAGACAAAGCTGTTCTCGTCGTCCTTGCTCTGGATCTTGATGTGGTACCACCCGTACTCGAGCATGGATCGAATATCGCCCGCCGTCAGATTGGCGCTGGCATCATCGTTGAGGATCTGGAACTCCTTTTTTCCGTCGTCGTCTTTGCTTTCGTCGACGGGGGCGGGGCCCCACGTGAGACTCCCACGACGGACAAATTGTTGGTTGGCATCCCACGAGTGATAAATCGTCCAGGAGAGCCCAACATCTTCGGCGGCGAGAACCTCGACCGGTGACAGCTGCACCGCCGACAAGAGCGCCAATATGGAAAGGACAGAGGACACCATTGCGCTTTTGCCCTAGAAAGAATCGACGTAAGCTAACTCTACCGATAACGTATTGTTCGATGTTCAGAGTTTGTTGTCCGCTGTCGACCCGTCGTTGCGTGTATGACCTCGGGACGTGCAATAAATCGCTGATGAACTGTAATTTAGGGGAAACGCAGTCGATGCCTTGTTCGCTATTTTGATACAGTGATGGACCAATGATAACTGCGACACTTTGGGGGGTACATCGATCGACGTCTACAAAAGGGGGGGGCTTTGGGCTGTAATGTACTTTTCGAACCGTACGTACGTACCATACGGTACGAACTTGTAAGCAGGGGTTATCATCACCCCTGCTTGTAAGGACCAAGAGCCAGGAGACCAAGAGTGACCGAATATTTTTACGTGAACGATTGAAATCGTTATTAGAAGTACTTATTACCCATCTGCGGCTACTCCGGCATGAAGGGCAGCTGTGATAGAAATTGGAAACGAGGATCATTTCGGAGCAAGACAAAAAGAATAGATAATATCCAAATCCTGCACTCTCCATTGTATCGGTGCCCTTTTGTTTTGAATTTTGAACCAAGAAAACGATAGTATGGCGAACGTGACGGATCCTCTCATCAAGTCCATACAGGGCTCGGACCCCCAGAACCTGATGGAGTACATCACCCGGCAAAAGATTTACGACAGCCGGTTTTGGAAGGAGCAATGTTTTGGGTTGACGGTAGCGGACGTCATGGAGCGAGCCGTCGAGACCCTGACCTGCGTCGGCGGAACATACAGCGGGATGGGGAAACCAACGAAATTCTTGTCGCTGGTCCTGAAGCTCTTGCAGCTCCAGCCCGATTATGAACTCATTCGAACCTTCCTTGAACAAACCCACTTCAAGTATCTCAGGGCGCTGGGTGCCTTTTATCTGAGACTGACCGGACGGCCTCAGGACATTTACGAACTGCTGGATCCCCTGTATGCCGATTATTCCAAGCTGAAATACCGTGGTGTCAACGAGTGGAAATTGGTCCACCTCGATGAATTCGTAGACGAGCTCCTGACGAACTCCTTTTGCTGCGGAATTGCCATGCCTAGGCTTCCTGCGAGAGAGACACTCCAAGAGGCTGGATACCTTGAAGAAGGCCCGCGGCGGACGGCTCTGCACGATGCCTTGACACGGGCGGGAGGTATCAAGGAATATCTAAGGATCAAAGTCGACGAAGAAGCGAGCGCACGGAAGAGCGGGATCAACGATGCCGTTAATGATAGCGCTTTCGGTGGGGCCATTTCGTTGTGGGAAAAGCGATATGGAAAACTCAAACCAATCGAGCGGGGGGAAGACGATGAAAATGGAAACACGAATGAGAACTTGGAAAGTACTAGAGATAATGAAGTCGTGGGGGGAGACAATCACGAAACAGAAAGCGAACGCGGCACGGGTCAAAACAACAGTGAGGGACGACTAGGAAAACGAAAAGCCGCAGACACCGATGCAGATAGTGTGGAGGCAAAAAAGAAGAAAAAGAAAGAGAAGAAGAAATCATCAAAGTACGGTTCCTTGTTCAAATCATCTGCGGTGGACAGTTCCAAAAACAGTAATTCTATGCTTCCCAAGGACGAAGAAGGAACGCAAAGCAGCAAGTCCGTCGATCAAAACAGTGATGAATACTGGAATGAGCTGCGATCGTCTTTGGGCATGAATCCATTGAAGAAATAGATCTGTCTCGTACTTGAGTGCTCGATCGGTCAATTGTCGATTGACTATGAGTGCTAGCTGCACTGTACGTGTACGTGCAAATGCATTTGAACAGCGCATGAGAAAAACTATAGAAAAGACTATTAATATTTTTCAACATGTGGTTGTTTTTGGTTCCTATGCTCTGTCTAGCAAATCTGTACGGTACGTACCATATTCGAAATCAAAAAGGCAGCAAATGGGTATCGTAGAGTCGTCATCGTCGTTTGCAAATGGGCAAAGAAGCTCGACGGGTGACAGCCTCTCAAAATTCTCGGTGGCGAAATATTTTCGTATTCGTTCTGGTAGTTGTTTGGCTTGTACGTACCGTACTTATACAATCTAGTGAACAGATGAAACGGCCGGACAAGTAGTACGCAATCAAATGAAAGTGATGATGTGGCAACAAACAATTTCATAAAGTACACGGCCATAGCTAAAACTATGGCATCCTACACGGAAAAAATATTTTTTTCGAAAAGTTACTGCTGTATTGTTTTTTTTGTTACTTTGACCTATTGTTACATATTACAGTGCTTTAAGAACTTGCGTCCCTTTGCTCAAAAAGTCATCCAAGGTCAAACAGCTGGCACAAACAAATCGATAAACAGCGCAAAACAAAATTGCACTCGACCATGCCAACAACCTGAGATGAAACTTTTCCTGGAGCAGTTGATTTGCCACATATTCTGTCCGTATTGCGACGGCATACAGCAATACTGGCGACCCGAGCTCGCCGCTCATTCGGCGATCTTTTTTGTACTTGTCGTCGACAAGTTTAATGATCAAATCTACCACCAATCGCCATCACAAACGATCTCACACTTTTCGTATTGATAGTAACCTCCAGATTTTCCAGCCTTGCCTCCGTATGGTTGTTGTCCTAGATTTCTAGCTTTGCCTTTTGTCTTTCCGTAATGTTTGCCTCCATCGTGTCCGCTCTTTCCTCCCTTGCTTCCGTAGTATCCGGGTCCATAGTATCCGTAGTTTTTGGGTCCATAGTATCCCTTTCCTCCCTTTCCTCCGTAGTATCCATAGTACTTGGGTCCATCGTATCCGTAGTTAATGGGTCCGGGTCCGTAGTATCCCTTTCCTCCCTTTCCTCCGTAGTAGTCACCTCCGTATCCATAGCAGACCTCGTAACATCCTTCAGAAGGGTAGGCAGGTGGGTAGTAACCTCCGTACTTTCCACCGTCACACACAATTTCGCACTTTTCATATCCATAGGATCCGGACTTTCCTCCCTTTCCTCCGTAGTATTTCTTGCCGTAACCGGGTCCGTAGTATCCGTAGTATCCGGACTTTCCTCCCTTTCCTCCATAGCCTCCTGATCCGTAGCATACCTCATAACAGCCTTCGCCATGGGATGGGTAGGCAGGTGGGTAGGCAGGTGGATAGGCAGGACCGCCACAGTCGCAGCCGTGTCCGTAGCCCTTGTAACCCTTTCCTCCCTTGTAACCCTTTCCTCCCTTGGCACCTTTTCCTCCCTTGCCACCATAGCTTGGGTATGAAGGGTATGAAGGGTACTCAGGTGCGTATCCATACTTGTAGTCTCCTAGAGAGCGCTCCTCGTCTTCAGTGAGTTTTCGGTACGAAGGATAGGAAGGATACTCTGGGTAGTAGCCCTGTAACCCTTTCCTCCCTTGGCACCTTTTCCTCCCTTGCCACCATAGCTTGGGTATGAAGGGTATGAAGGGTACTCAGGTGCGTATCCATACTTGTAGTCTCCTAGAGAGCGCTCCTCGTCTTCAGTGAGTTTTCGGTACGAAGGATAGGAAGGATACTCTGGGTAGTAGCCCTTCGAGCCCTTTCCTCCCTTGGAACCCTTTCCTCCTCTCCCATTGCAGATCTCGTAACAGTAGTCGTAGGCTGGGTAGGCTGGGTAAGCTGGGTAGCCACCGAGGTCGCGTTCGTCTGGAGTATCAGTAAGCTCGACAGCAACGGATGAGCTTCCTGTCTCGTTTGCTAGAGCAAAGGCAGCAACGAAACTGAGAAGTAGTGTGATTGTAAGATTCATAGTCTATAAATTGCTGGAACAGAATGGAAATAGAAAAGGTATGTTAGACTTGGGGAACCGACAATTACCTCCACGCCGCAAGAGAAGCGTAATACCACCCATTCGATTCACTGATTTCTCTGAACCTATTGAATGAAACTCTGTTCGATTTCTATCATTTCTAACTTACTTCGTAGTATCAAATAATGATGTCCGACGATAGTTTCGAGACCTTCGGGTTTTGTTCTCGCTGTTGTTGTATTATGGCAATTCGTCGGTATGAATTGAGTCTCGAAAAGATTCGGACGGACATCAATCAAACGCTTTGAAACGCTCACGATTGAGATGTCCATATCCAAACCTGTCACAAGATTGACTGGCTGAGTAGTTTTTTTGTTTCTGGCGCCGAAATTTTATCAGAACTACCTAATTACAGTATTATTTGGTACATCTCGCTCGATTCGACTCCCGAAATACAAGGCCTACGCGAGCCAGGTGGATCTCAATCATGGAAAATTCATAGCGATGTCATAAAATTTGAATTTTCAAGTTTTCTCGAGAAACGCGCGATTTTAGTTTTTGAACTACGAATGAGTCTTATCACGATCTGGGACTGCTTCAAATGATTGAATCATCTACGTTTTGAACTCAGAACTGCAAGAACCCATCCTAGTAAAATAAAATGGGGCACACAGATTAACTAAGAAAGAACGCCGACGGATATGTTGTACCGGTTTTAAGGCCACTAATTAGGGATAGGTTATGTTTGAAAAAAATTGACACGACAAAAACACTTCTCATTTGTACGGTACGGTACGTACGAACTCGCTCTTTTGACTGCTTTTGCACTACTACTACTACTAGTAGTAGAACTTCTTGATATTAATAGGTCTCTTTAGAGTAGTAATACTAGTAGTAGTTGGTGGTGGAACTGGTGGTTTTGTTGGTAGCCAATAGTAGTACTAGTACTAGAAGTAGTAATAGTACTAGTAATCAACAGCACTTCTTCTTGTTGTTCTTGGTGTTGCACACCACCAGATGGGTGCTGGTGGAAGAAGAAGAAGAAACATGATGACATAAAAAGAACAGGTATGAGTTCTAATAGTACTAGTAGCACCATGCACAATCTAGTAGTACTAGTAGTAGTACTACTAGTATTATCCACTTCATTTACTAGTACTATTAGCTACTAGTACTACTAGTACTATGTTACTAGTACTAGTACTACTACTATTCTACTATGATTTTACTAATACTAGTAGAGCTACTAGTACTACTACTACTAGTAGTAGTACTAGTAAAGAATGATATATGGCATATCTACTAGTAATAGTACTTTGTTCTTGCAATGCTGCTATTACTACTAGTACTAGTACTAGTAGTAGTAGTAGATACCACATTCACAAGGAAGAGAAAAGTAATACTTCTTTGTGCATTGCAGGTAAAGGGTTCTTCTGTTTGTTGAAGGGCTCTTCTGACCACCCTAGTACTACTTCTTGTACTACTAGTAGTACTAGCAATTAGTAGTACTAGTAATGGTAGACATACTAGTAGTAGAAGAATGCCACCCACTCAACATAATACTAGATGTAGTAGAAGAAGAATGCCGTTCAACTAGCAGCATATCAACTGGTCATGTAGAAGGGCAATTGCAGTGATGGCATACTAGCATCTTGTATTTGCAGATCAATAATGGCAGCAAAGGTTGTCGTCACCGATAAAAAATGCCACTGCAAATTTCATTTTGACACTCCAACTCTGTCCATTCCAGGGAAGGTTTGACCATTGTATGCCTTCCAACAAGTCCCATGCCTCTTTAAGACTGTGCAATGCGACGTAAGCCTGCATGAAGACTGTTGATATTAGCCTATTGATGAAATTTTTGGCCTTGTAATATTTGCCTGATGGATGAAAATAGATGGTGGTCTCCCATACGTGGGTCCAGATGAACATGTTCAGTTGTTGAAAATCCCAAGCGTCCTCATATTGAGGGGTGGTGTAAGGGAAGTGAGACCACTGTTGTTGATGGCCATTCCATCAATGTAGAGGATAATTGGGACCAGGATTTTCTTTCAGATCCTGTTTGCACTTTCTCTTCCATGTCTTGATCCAGAAGGTTCTGTGGTCAAGTTCAAAAATAATGTCATCATTGTCAAGCGGGATTCTTTTTGAAGGACCTTGGGCATTTCTGGTTAGGGAAGGAAAGGTTATCCTCCATGACCAAAGTGACATTGGTAAGTAGGGAGTGCAAAGCTTTCCTAAAAGACAGCACATAAATTTGTTTTTGACCACAATCACCAGATGGATTGACTGAAGCTTTGTAGCACCAGTCAACAACAATGGGCTAAAACTCACTGTCTTTGATTTTTGTGGCTGCTTTGTACAATTCTTTCATTGCAGATTTGTGTGTCTTGAATAAGTTCTCCCCTGAGACAAGAAGGAAAAGAGTTGTAGATGCTTGGCTTCCATTGCCCATTGGTACAACTCCCTTTTGGCTTCAAGAGGAATGCTGTGGTTGTGCACAAGCTTCATGAGCTTTACTTTCACCTTCAATTTATCTGAAACATGACAATGATGATTGGGTGTCTCTATGGGAGGGATAGAGGATTATTGGCATGCCAGATGGTTCAAAACAGACAGGGGATGACATTCACTGCTGTCGATGCTTCTGTCTTGTGTATTCCTGACAAAAATGGGAAGAGGGGAAGGATCAGGATAAAAGGAAGAGGTCACCAGGTTGTCTAGTTTCTCCTCCAACAAAATATGGTCAATTGGTTGGCACATTGGGTCAAACATAACCTGCAAATCAAGATTTTTGTGAACAGCAGTACCTGGGAAATTTTCTGTGTTTGTCAGACAAAATATATTGGCCAAGCAAGTCTGGAAATTTCCTGGGTCAAACACGGAGGTTGCAAAATCTAAAACACCACCCAGGTGATGACCATAATGATACATACTAGGAGCAATCATCATTGTCACTAAGATGACTGATGAGCTGTCTAGAAGTGACAATGCCATTGTGTTTTCTTCTAGTTGCAGAATTAGAAGAAGGTACTATGGGTCTCTTGCATTTTTTGTTCCATTGTTCCTTTTTGTAACAGCATCGGCAATACACTCTAAGCTTGGGGGACAGCCCCATAGCAACTTGGGTGAGAGGGTGGTGAAGGCACTACTCTGGTTGTGGCGTTCTTGAAGCAGTAGTAGAAGTGAATTGAGGACATATAGCAAAAAATAGAGAAAAGGGTGTCAGGATTGACACAATATTCTTTTTTCTCCTCTACCCAAATGATTCTTTCTTGGGCAACCAATATGCAGTATTGTGCATGTAGTCAGAATACTATTGTAAAGCAAAGACTACTACTATATTTTGAGACAAGATAACAATATTTATATACTCAGCATATAAAAAAAACAACACCAGGAGCTACTTGTAGTAGATAGAGCCGGGGTTGAGGCAGTATGATAATAGAGGGTCATTTGGCATCATGCAATTTGTGGGTCACCATGAAAACGGTTTATGTGACAAATACAACAAGCATAGGGGGACACCAGCAGAGGAATTGAAAAATGTGGATGCATAGTACTAGTACTAGTATGGTGTGCCAATCAGGACATGATACAGTGTACTCCTACTAGTACATCACATGTGATGTAGTAGTAGTAGTAGTAGTAGTAGTAGTACTAATAGGTCAGCACGAGTAGTAGTAATAACCAAGGACCCTCTACTACTAGTAGAATTGTACACTACTAGTAGTAGTACTACTACTATTACTTCCCTAAAAAGATACCCAAAGTTACATACTAGTAGTAAAGAGGCCCAATGTGTCCCGGGACGTTGGGAAACGACTCATAACCAGATACTTTGAGCTACTGGACGTACGGCTAAGCTACTGAGGCACGTGCCTACTCATAACCGGATACTTTAAGCTACTGGACGTACGGCTCAGCTACTGAGTCACGTGCCTGATGATATATAAGCCGACCTGCGGGGGAGTTGTATCGTACAATTAGCTTTTAAGAAACTTTTAAGTAGCTCAAAAGTAGCTTTTAAGCTACTTTAAAGTAGCTTTTAAGCGACTTTTAAGTAGCTTTAAAGCTTTGCTTAAAAGCTACTTTAAAGCTACTTAAAAGTCGCTTTTAAGCTACTTTAAAGTAGCTTAAAAGCTACTTTTAAGCTACTTTAAAGTAGCTTTTCGGTAGCCGTTGGATTACGAATTATAATATATATATATTCATTACCGAATAAGAATATTGAAAATATACAGATATAATCTATTCTTTAGTACAAGCGCCGTAGAAAAGACCAAATCAAGGTCCGGTTTTATCTTCACACGCAAACGCCGTGTTAAAATTAGCTTTCGACCTAAAATCAGATCGGAAGCAAACTGGAGACCAAAATAATGATTTACGGAGCTTCCTGGTACAAAACGCTTGTAGAATTCCTGTAGAAAATTCAAAATCAAGGGGGTATACTGTCCATTTTGCTCAAAATGGAAGGGTTTTATCTTTACGTGCAAACGCCGTGTAAAAATTAGCTTTTTACCTACCGGCCGATACAGTCCAATTTGGGCAAAATCAGTGGGTTTTTATCTTCACGCGCAAACGCCGTGTTAAAATTAGCTTCTGGCCTAAAATCGTATTTCAAAGCGCCGGAGATGACGTTGCTAACTGAGACCCCCAGGACAGCACTGGTTCCGGGAGTAGTGGGAACAGCAGTATTCCTTGAGTAGTGTAAATAGTGATGCAGTGGCATCTTTCCTTGCCAAAGAGCATCTGCGCTGTGTTGTTGAGGCTATCTGACTAGAAATAATGAACATCGTAATCGAGCCCATCAGCAAAGACTGTGGCCCCGGAAAGAAACTTGAGCTGTGTAATCACAGCAACTGCATCGAAGCACTGCCCGTGTCTCTCCATCATTGTCTCCCTGTTTGGCTTCATGTGCCTGAAATGAGTAGTGAGCACATTAAATTGTTTCAATCTACTATTCACAGCTTCCTGCTGCGCCCGAGCATTTGATTTCATCTTTCTTTTCTTACTGCTGGTCCCCATCGATGGATGCTTCAGTCGAGCGTCTCCCCCATAGCCCCTGTCTGCTTCCACGGCTTCCTCTGGATGAAGATATGTACCCAAACCCTCCTCAAATATAGTATTATCATTCACGCTTGCCTTGAATGGACCATTGACCCAAACAATTAATCCTGTCTTCAAGCAAACAGCCACTTCATATTTCACCCCYGGACCATTAATCTTCTTTGAATACATGTCTTCCTCAAAAGGCCAAGG